ACATACATACATACATTTGCAAACAAATTAGGCAAGAGAAGAAACTTTTTCATTCGTTTGTAGCGCACGAATTTTGCAAATGTGTCGAGCAAACATTTTTGTCTTTTTTATGTTTTGCTGTTGGCTGAATGATTTGAATATCTTATCGCTTCATCAATACGCTCAATAGCTACATGCATATGTATGTATGTTTGTTATTTATAAATGTATATTTTTTTTATATTTTATGTATGCACATAAGTAGCTAAGCGCACATGGTAGAGCACAGATACCAACATTCATACATATGTATATATATTGTATATAATAAAAATAATCAAGCCCGTTGAATGATCATTGTATATTTGTATATTTGTAAGAATACTTTTTTCCTGAATGTTCTTTAAATTAAAATTCGCTAAATTTATATTAACAAAAATACTTGCGAAAATATATATGTACATACAAACAAACAATATACAACCGTAAACGAAACGTGAATTCACAAAAGCAACAGCTACAGCACATTGAGCATTTTAGTACGCTGATAGAGCGGCGGAGGCAGCGCGACGAAAGCTCAACGCTTAGATACACACTTATTGCTACCAGCTAGAATGCGCTATGTATGTATTTCAGCAACATTTGCTGAATATTGTTTGAGCCCACTCACCGCAAAAATTTGCGAAAAAAAAATAAAAAATATTAATTGTAGTACAAAACCTACAAAACAAAGTCAAACACAAAAAGCGAACACAAAATGAGTATAAGAATATATATATATATATATACAGAGGAATATATATATATTTACATAGAAATATATGTATATGTTTTCAAATAAAGTTCTATCGTTTGCGAAAAAAAAGAAATGAAATGAAATGACTAAAAAAGTAAAAGTATGTATGTATGTACATACATATGTACATATATGGATAACAGCTACGTTTTATGACTGTCAAACATATTTCAGACTCCATTTATTTCGCTATTTAACTAAACGCCCAAGCATGTGTACATATTCACACATACATAGCTATAAAAAATACAGTTAGTTTGAATTGTTATAGGACGATTATATAAAAAACAAATGGAATAAAAAAAACAACAGAAGGTAAAACAAAATAGAAAATAGATGAAGAAACAAAATTAACTAAAATAAAAAAATTAATTAATTTAAAAGTAAATTCAATTAAAGTATAACAATGTAAAATAAAATAAAACAATTTAAAATATATTCAAGTCAAGTAAAACATAAGATAAAGAAACCAAAATAAAAATAATTCAATTAAAATAAAAAAAATAAAATCAAGTTCAATAATGAAATAATATTATAAGATAAAATTAAAAAAAAAACTAAATAAAATAAAATAAAATAATTTAAATTAAAATAAGTACATTCAAACAAAATAACACAAACTAAAAAAAATTAAATAAAATGAAAGTGAAATAAAAAAATTGGAAAAAATAAAAAATATAAAATAAAATAAAGTAAAATTTAATAAAATGAAATGAAACAAAATAAAACAAAATAAAATAACATAAATAAATTGAAATAAAATAAATTCAAATAAAATTAATTTAAATTAAATTGAATAAAATAAAACAAAATAAAATAAAATAAAATAAAATAAAATAAAATAAAATAAAATAAAATAAAATAAAATAAAATAAAATAAAATAAAATAAAATTGTATGAAACAAAATAATGTTAAATGAAACTTATTTCAAATAAAATTTAATAAAGTGCGCATAAATGAAATTATTTCGTTAAATTAAAAGTAAAATAGAAAAAGTAAAATATTGTAACATTAAACCAAAATAAAATTAAAGAAATAAAATGAAATTAAAAAATTTATAAAAAATAAAGCAAAATAAAAGAGATTATATATTTATATAATTGGCGCATTGTAACCGCTGAAGCGATTAAAATGACATAAAATAAAGAAAGAATTAAATAATATAGTACACAATTAAAATAAAAAATAAATTTAACTCAATAAAAAAATCTAAATTTATTTAAAATAAAGTAAAAAATAAATAAATATATGCATATATTATACATACGTATGTACGAGTATGTAGTTGACGCTATGTACATATTTATATATATTTTGTGTAATTAATCACGGTTAGATACTGTGCTTTTGTGTATATATGTATATATGTACAAATGTAGATACGAGTATGTCCATATGTATATCACCACTTTGCCAATGAAATGCTCACGCGCCACTTTGGCTACACTACTAAACTAATTGCTAATAAACTAAGTGCATAACACACAACACACATACATACTCCTACATTCATATGGACGTTTGTCAAAAGAAAAGCTCATTCAAAAGTATAAGAAACTTATTTACGTGTGAATTCTAAAAATTATTAGCACTGCTAACCTAGTTCGCACAAGTTTGTGAAAAAAAAAATTATAATATTTTATTTATATTTTACTCTATCATAACTTTCGCTATATATTTTACTTGTTATTATTTGCTAAGTAACAGCTTACGCTGTATGAGTAAAGATTTCTGTTGTGGCAGCGAAAAATGAATAAAATTCTTTATGCATCTATGTGTACATATGGACATAAATATACATATATGTATGTATTTACAAGTGCATATATAATCAGCTATTTCAATAGAATAGAAAATAATTATAGAATTCTGCATTGTTTAAATGGGCATTTGTTTGAATGAAGTTTTTTAGTTTAGTTAGGAGTAAGAGTTTCAGAGAATTTTTCCCAACCCCGAAAACGTTTTATTTTTTGGTGTATGTCATGCTTCAAAGACACTTCGTTTTTAGCAATCATTTTATTAATTGAGAAAAATATTTTTATTGTCTTTAGAATGACTATGACTCTCAAAAGCTTGCTGAAGAATTGGGCAATCGGAAAAAATAACACAGAAAAATGTTTACCAACAACTAAGTTGCTGCTGTGGCTTTTTTGAGAAATTTTATTGCAGCAAAGTGTATTTGTAAAATTTAGTTTCGACTAAAATTTTATATAATAATAATTAATATTTTATAATATATTTAGTAAATAAGCAGTTTATAAGTAATTGAAGGCATATATGGAAAAAATTGTAAGAATAGCTAGGGAATACTGGTATTATCTTGTTATGGGCCAAGAACAGCAGCGAAAGTATTTTTTCTTTGTTTTCATATTTCCTCATAAATCACAAGGTGCGCAAAAATTCACTTTCGTATACTATATATGAATATATATGTTTATATGTGCACATGTATATACGTATGTACATATGCCCAAATATGTATTTTGGGTGGAATAGGTACTACCTTTGCTGGAGTTCAGCAACAGAATAATAGAGAAGCGCAAAAAAAAGTCCACCTTTTATGTAGTAAACGTCATGACCACTGCGTCACATTTACCACACAGCCGGCATTGAGATTTGCTATAAGACATTAAGGTAATAGAATGAAAGAGAAGGAAAAATACGTTAGAAAAAAGTTGCCGAGTAGAGTACTGGCTTCGTCATAAATTCTATTGTACAAACAGCTGCTCTTTAGAACTACCTCAGTTTACCTCTACGCAAGTAGAAATACTTTCATACACCTGCACACAAACACATATACACACACACACACATTTCTCTCCCAAAGTGTAGGTGGACAGTAGTGAGTTGGTGGCGTATACGCAACAACGCAGCTGACTCCACTCCGCTCACTCAATATGCGTGAGAATTTATTTAATATGCAAACCTACTGATTAAAGCAAAATTTAGCGTTCGCACTCACACATACATACATACTGTTTAGTTGGCATTTAAACGAAGCCAACAGTTGTGCGTACGCAATTTGTGAATGCTTGAGAGTGCTAAGCGACAGAATATTATATTCTCAGCGAACAATAGCGATCAACTTTCTCAGCATTACGGCAAACAGTAGCTTCGCCGGTATACGCACAATGAAATTTAGAAGAGACAAAAAAGAGAAACATGAATAAATCAACAAATATCGGCTGGTGTCAACGTACCTTGTACACGCAATTTTTGTGAATTTGCCAAAAATATCTATGATTTTTTTTTTCTTCATTTCTGTTATTCCCATTTCTCATTACGCTTTGCTTTTGTTTTGTTTACAATTTTCTAGTAGCATTTCGCACAACGACGCTTTGTCGCTCCCTCTCTTTCACTATCTGTGTGTAAAACAGAGAATTGTATGAATTTCAATGACTTCGTTTAATTTTTCGTTTTGTTGTCTACTTCCATTTGTGCAAATTTGCGAATTTTGTGCGTTCAAACGTGCGTCGACCTATTTAGCGTTCATTGAACTTTACTCAAGGTAAATTTGACAAACGCGCTTCCGCAGTCTCTTAACACTTACGCATAGCTAAGCGTGCAAGTTGATCATCAGTTGGATCGGCCGTAGGTGGAGAGTGTGTAAAAGGTACGGAAGGTGGTTTACATACAGATTAGTTATGCTTTTCGTTAGAATCGTTCATAGATTTGCAAGTGGTTGATAAAGCGTTTTGCTGCTATACTTTCTTGTCACATATTCACTCACAATCACTCATACATACAATAATTACTCGGATTTGTGTTTTGTGTTGGATATTGTTATTTATTTAATTTTTGCATATTTTTCGTATTCACGTGTTGATTTTTTGTAGTTTATTTACGAATGAGATTTTTGCGATTTTTTTGCAACTTTTTTTCAGTATCAGTTCAATAGCCTCAAAATGTTGTAGTATGGACAATTTTTAATTTGAGTAGATAGAATCACAGGCCAAAAATGGGTTATTGTTTACTTATAGACAAAAATACTTGAAAAGCGATCAAAGAAATGTTAATAATCAAATAAAATCTGTTTAAAGAAAGGATGTTCTTATACAGAGTCTATAATAATATATTTTTATTCTTTATTTTATTTTCATTTCATTTTATTATATTTTATACTTTTTGTAGAAAATAAATATGATTTTAATATTTTATAAAATTATCTTATGTTCATTGTATATATTTGTATTAATTTCAAATTAATTTATTTTTTCTTTATAGAAATGGCGGAAGGCAATGGCGAACTGGTAGATGACATCAATCAAAAATCAGAAGATCGCGGCGATGGTGAAAGAACAGAAGATTACCCAAAACTCTTGGAATATGGCTTAGATAAAAAAGTGAGTGGGGAAGCAAATAAAAAAAAATATGAAAAAGCATAGTGAAATCGAATTGTTCTTAGCTTTAGTATCAATTTTCCGCTCTAAATATTTCGTTATAATAAATAACGCCCGAATGTATGCAATGTTTTCTTTTTGGGTTATATATGCAAGAGAAAACGTTGCATACAGCTAGGCGTTGAGTGAAATGTTTTGTGGAAAACCTTGACAAATTACTAAATTTTTTAAAAATAAATATAGAGTTTTTTTAATTATTTTTTCATAGCAGTTGCTGAAATTAAAAAAAAAAAACACGACTTAAAAATATATTCATATGTCTGTATAAACAGGAATACATTAATAACACCCTCTGCACTCTACTCTATTTCACAATACAGGTTGCCGGCAAACTAGATGATATTTACAAAACAGGTAAATTAGCGCATGTCGAATTAGATGAACGTGCGTTAGATGCGCTTAAAGAGTTTCCGGTTGATGGTGCCTTGAATGTTTTGAGTCAGTTCCTTGAATCAAACTTGGAACATGTATCGAATAAGTCTGCGTATTTATGTGGTGTTATGAAAACCTATAGACAAAAGAGCCGCGCCAGCCAACAGGGAGTGCCAACACCAGCGACCACAGTTCAAGTGAAGGGACCGGATGAGGAGAAAATAAAAAAAATACTCGAAAGAACTGGCTACTCCCTAGATGTGACCACTGGTAAGTTGAAAACCAAAAAAAAAAAAATATTTTTTGAAAAGAAACCTCTATCTGATGTAGATAATAGATAATATATTTTCTTAATATGTATCTAACACTTTTTTACACCCAACTCAATAGGTCAACGCAAATATGGTGGACCACCACCAAATTGGGATGGTCCAACACCCGGCAACGGCTGCGAAGTTTTCTGTGGGAAAATTCCAAAGGATATGTTTGAGGATGAAATTATACCGCTATTTGAGGAATGCGGTACAATATGGGACCTTAGACTAATGATGGATCCAATGACGGGTACAAATCGTGGATATGCATTTGTTACCTTTACAACGCGTGAAGCGGCCTCAAATGCCGTTAGACAGGTAGTTTGAAAATCATTTATAAAAAATATAACTTAAAACAACAGTTCCGAAAATGCTTATATAAGAGTTTTTGTGCAAATTTTAAAAGCTTCCATATTTAGTTAGCAGTATTATATGTACTTATTTCAACATATTTACACATATATTTACATTTATATATATAGTTTGATTTATTCATTGTATTTTATGGTAAGAAAAGCAAACAAAATCAATTCAAAACAAAACGCTTTAATCAATTGTACTATAATTTCTTTTCGATAGTATAATTTTAGGCACAAATACATTTCTTTAGGCTGAGAGTACGAACAAAATTATGCTTCGAAATTCATATGACAAAAAAAATGCGTGTACAAAATTGTCAAAAATGATATACAAAAAACATACAATTCTGCAAAAGATAAAAAAAATCTTATTTTGGATGATATTAATTGGGCAACCACCTTCCGGCCTCACAATTTGAACGTTTGATATTTTTTGGTATATTTGAGCCCTCAAGAAGGACTTCCGCAATATTAGCTACCTATACTTGCATATATACTATATATGTATATGAACACTAAAAGTATTACTTATTATTAGCTAAATATTTGAAACGGTACACATTTTTAACGTATATGCGTATTTTAAGCTATAAAACTATGTATATTTTAAGTATGTACTCTTTTTGTAGTTGCTTACGCGTTCTTTCTCTTTCTCTCTCTCTATGTAATTTACTGTAGTTTTAAGTTGTAATTTTTATTGGAATCTTTGTTCTCTGAATTCAGAAATACCAAATAGTAGTTTTTTACTTGCATTTTGCATGCTGTTTCTTATTTAAAACAAACAACAACAAAACAAGAAGTTGAGATTAAAATAAACTTCTCATAGCTGTAAATTTATTTTGTTCGAGCATTCGTACTTAGTTGGATGCAACTAAAAAAAAAAAAAAAAATTAATATTGTATATTTTAAGTATCCAACAAAAAAGTGACTCTTATAAAAATCCAATTTTTTTTATATTCAACTGCTTAATCAAAAGAGTAAGGAAAATCAAAATCAATTCATAAAAAAAAAACGATTTGAAAAGTAGTCTCGAATGCTGCCAAACAAAATCCTTTCCGTTAAGTAGACTAGTTGCCCTTCACCCCAACCAAAAGAACCAATTAACACTATATAGTTTAACAAAATCAGTTATTTTTCAATTAATTTTAGATTTATTTAAATTTTTTTTTCATAAATATATTTTTTGCTAAAAAATAAAATTTCAACAATATTTTGAGGCTAACTTGAGTTTCGACTTCAACAACCGACGAAAAGTAGTAAAACGTGCAAAAAATTAAATCAAAATTAAATAAAAAATTCCAAATTTCCAAAATTCAAATTCAATAAAGCTATAGACCGACTGTATGTAGCAACTCTATAAAAATTTGTGGTAATAACGATTTCTCCTCTTTGCAACAACTGCGTACCCTATCAGCGCGACTGCTCTTGCATCTTTTTCTCACTTACTTGCAACACAATTTCTTAAGCTTGTTTTTTATACATATACATATTTATAAAAATTGTAATTTTAGGGTAGTACTAGTGCTGTGCTTAATTAAATTTGTTTGCCAAATTCTTATGACATCCTACGAAATCACTTTGAAAACAACGCCTACGAAGTAGTCAAAAATTGTCTGGTTTTATTTTTTCTATTGCGAGCATGCCCTCTGTCGAAAAAAAAACATAAATAAAAGCAAACTTTTGAAAATATTTTAAATTAATAATTTCTCTTTTGATCTCTATTTCATCCTACAAATTTGTCTTAATTATCGACTAATGCAAAATTATTATATATATATTTTGACACTGAAGTCTGTGTTACGTTCGAGTATTTGGCACTTTTAATGTGAAAAAATTTAAAGAAAGTAACAAAAATTATCAAAATAGTACTTTTTGGCATGTGTCAACACAAACATATTTCGGAAACGCTCATCAAAACGCTATATCCTAAAAACTCTTCAGCTACACAAATCGAACAGAACTGGTAATTGTGTACGTCTATCATTTTGAAACCATGAACACACTTACACACATATATCATTTTATTACAAAATTTAATTTCTTTTTTTTTTTAATTATCTTATTTTTACCTCCCCAATGTCATGACTCGTAACTTAACCGAACCAAAATATTACATTACTATCTGAAAATGTTTTTTGTCATTCTTTTTCCTCCTCCCCCCACATCCAAATATCCTAAGCAAATCCTCAACTCAAGACATTCTATTTTCACCCCTCTTCCCTTTTTCGTATCGTCGTTCATGTTTGCATTGTTACAAAAAAATTTATTTTTCATTTTATCATTAGATACAAATATAGAAAATCGATTATACTACCATTTTCGTTGCTCATTATTTAGTTATTATCATTTCTTATGTTTTCTTTTATCATTTTTATTCAAGTATTATTTATTTATTGATTTATTTTTATTGTATCTTGTTTGTGTTATTATAATTATTGGATTCCTTACCAACTCTACAACTACATAACATTTTACATTTACAAGTACTACAAACTAAACTAAAAGAAAAAAAAAAACTACAACTACAATGACATCAACAAACGCTTAAAACACATATAAATTTTTTTTATACATATTCCCCATCTACAGCTCGATAATCACGAAATAAAACCTGGCAAGTGTCTAAAAATTAACATTAGCGTACCGAACCTGCGCCTATTTGTAGGCAACATACCCAAGTCGAAAGGCAAAGAGGAGATATTAGACGAATTTGGTAAATTAACAGGTAAATTCAAAATGAAATTTTTTCTAAAATTTAATTTGTATAAAAAAAATCAACAAATAAACAAAAAAAAAAATAAGCAAAGTAAGTAAATTTGTGCGTTTGTGTTGAAATTTGAGAAATAATATGCAAAAAAAAAAGTATGTTGCAGTAAAACAAACTGAAAAAACAACGGAATTAAATTGAATTTTGTATTGCTTTTATAAGCTGTGCTTAAAAACAAACATACATAAGTAATGAATCATAATTATGAAATGCTATTATTCTCCATAATATAGCACAGCTCGGAATTAAATAAAGAAGGATCATATTTTTGTGTGATAATTTCTTTTCAAATCTCAATTAAAGTTAACTTTTGAAATTATTATTAAAAATTGTATTTGTTAATAAAAAAAAGACACAGCACTATTTGCATATTATAGCACAAATTTCATTACAAAATCGCATAAATCCTCGTAGCAGGATCACGTCACGTGATCTATTTTAATTGGCTTGTAAAATACAAAAATCCAATTGGCTTTAAGATTGGCTCTAACACCCCATTGGCGAATATATAAATCGGCGAAACCGGTAAAGTACGCAAGGAACTCAGCTAAGTGTGTTCAAAAAATGAACTCAATTAATGTAATAAGTAAAGTAAAGTAAATAAAGCAAAGAATAACGAAATAAAAAAGAAATAAAAAAATAGGCGAGAGGAAAATCAACGCACAGCAATGAAATAAAAGGTGTTCAAATGCCATATGAGCATATAAAAGGTTGAAAATATAAAAAAATAACAAGTTTACTCTACTTGATAATGTCATACATTTTTTTAAATTTTTTTTTTAATTTTTTTATATATTTTGTTTTCTAATGTAAGTCATCATTTTAAGTACCACCCTTGGAAATTACACTTCACAACTAATCATAATTCACAATTATCCCCACCAAAAACCTAACAGCCACGCGAATCATCACCTGTTCTAGTACTAGGCATAAATAATATTTACTTCCCAATGTTAAAAAAAAAACACCTTAATTAATAAAAACCAAAAATCACCTACTCATTAATGTATAATTTTTCTTAATATCACTGAGACTCTTTTCAAATGCGTAACTAACCAAATTATTTCTACGTGCTTAATACACCAATAAATGCTTTAAACCAAAAATGAAAAAAAAATCATACATAAACACACACACATATATATAGTTTATGCTATTATGCCACCAATGCACCTGAATAAGCACAAAATCACACAGATACGAATACACCGCCGCACAAGCACAGGCTATGAATGTGTCGTACAGCTGAAAGTCCAGTCCACACAAGCATACCACACAATCCACACTTCCATTCACTACATAAGTATGTAAAAAAAAAGGTTATGAAACGCTTAAAGTTCTTCCTAATTTTTTCTTGCGAAAGTTTAATTATCTAACAACAAAATGTTGAAAAGAAAAGCAAAATTAATCAACGACAAAGATATCTCCAGTCATTAACTTAAAAAAAAAAAACAAAACATACAAATGAATATATAGTAAAGTAGAAAAGCTAAACAAAAATATTTTTAAATTTTTTAATTTTTTTATATGCGAAAAAAATATACATACATATATAAAAGACATTAAAAAATTTATGCATCAAAGTTTTCTTCCTAACTTATTAGTTCATATTAGCTTAAAACATACATACGAGTACATAATATACATATATTTAATACATAAGCGAAATTTGAAAAATTGAGTTTTTAGCAGTTAGTCGGCTTTCTAGTTATTATCGTAAATACATAACTAACTTAATATTTTTTTTACTATATTGACTATTTTTTTTTGCAAATTTTTCTACCAAGAAATTGATTTCCAAAAAAAATCACCAAAAACTTAGCCAAATTATATGAAAATCCTTCAAAGATATTATTTATATTTAATGTAGCGTAAAGTTAATTTTTCTAAGTTCGTTCGCCTCTCCGCAGGGAATATCAAGAAGAGAGTATCTTTGACACAAAAAAAAATAAATTTTTCATGAAAACCTTTGGCCGTTCGGAGGCGGCTTAGTATGGACTGTAGGATCCTCCATTTCTTGGTAAAACTTCAAGACGCACAACCACTTGTGGAGAAACTCGGTCGAAAATCGCTTTAGCGTTTACAAAGCACCAATTTTATATTTATAAATACTAAATCTAAGTATTAAAAACCCTGAGTGTGGAATTAAGAGCTGATATATGCATCGTCAAAGCACCAATTATAGAAAACTTTTCTGGGATTACGCTTAAGAGACATATTCAGAATGATTATTTTTGAAAAGAATATTCATTTCTTTGTATTAAACTGATTGTCATGAGAAATGAGGCAAAATCGATAAATATTCCAATAAGCAGTTTACATATAACTATGTACATATTTGGAGGAAACATATTGAGAGCAGTGCCAGTCAAGCGCTTCTAATGGGGAATACCTGCGAAAAAAACTATTGAGGCTTACGACCTCACATGGTAAAACCCATACTAGCACTGAAAAAATGCCACATTAAGCCTTTTATGCAAGAATAAGCAGTTTACATATAACTATGTATATACATATTTATTTATATCACCCCCAAAAAGAATAGTTGTATATTCTGTTAATAATTGGTGCCCTTAAAAACTAATAATCTCTTCTCTAATTCTTCCCATCTCTCAGATAATTTTCGAAAACCTTTGCTAAAAAATTAATCCTTTTTGTCCTCCGTTTCTTCAACTTGTCAACTGGCCATTTTTACCGCTCTCGCCGTATGTGTTTTCTGAATCACTCCCATCGATTCTGTGATTATGGTTTAGTAAAGCCTATATTCCTCATCTGCAAACTTATAGTGTAGGTCAGAACGCTCCTGGTTTTCGTCTCCCACTTTTGAAGTATCGAAACCACTCTTTGCATGACTCATTGGCTTTGATAAGCATTCGATGGGCTTCAACTGCACTTTTCCTCCTATTAAAATAAAAACTAAAAACTTTCCGAAATGCTGTTTATTTAACAAAAATCCGAATATTTTCGAAGAGACCGAAAACAATGTTGTTGTCAGGAACAAACTCTAATTACTGTTAAGAGATGTTGAACTTTTCAAAAGAAATACTTAATCGCTTTCAAGTAACGGTCACAACTTGCAAATGGAGTAATCTACTGAGAATGGTTCGAAATATATTTTAATTTTCAATATTTATTTTTATTTAATGGACTTATATCAAAAATCAAACAAAATAAATTACACTTTGAAGAGAAAATTGTGTTAAGGAAATTTTTAAATTCGCTACTGAATTATTCGTAACGAACTTCAATTGAAATCTAAAATTTATTTATGTATATCGAAATTTTAATTTTATATAATTTTTACTGACTACTGAAAACTCACCAGACTAAAAAAATTCGTACCAAAAATTATGCTCATATTTGTTTCATTTTATCTATTTATTTATGTATTGCATACAAACGCATTATGAAATATTTTCGTCGCTTTCGATTATCCACTGTCGTCGAGGCACTCGGTTCTTCAAAAGAAATAATATTAATTCAAGTACCGTTAGTTATACGCCTTATTTTTCTCACGTTATAAATTCGGGTAATTTAAATAATAATATTAAAAAAAAAAACCACAAAATTTTCGAAAAACCCGGGTCATTTATAAAATTTTTTTTAATAAATCAAAGCGAAGTTTTTACGTTCTTTTTTTGAGTACAATGTACCTGTGCATATGCAAAAAGGTACTAATGCAATATTTCAAATTTTAAAAGCACTTTAGAAAATCATAACGACTAATTAAAAATCTATATGCGTTATCTTGTTTATACATAAATATAATATTTATGAAAAATTTCATTCAAAATTCATTATTAGTAGCTAAAAATCTCATTTGACCACATTTACTTGTTTCGTTTCTCTGTTTTTTTTTTTTTTTTGTTCTGGTAGCCCAATACTTATGTATTTCCAGCTGTTGAAAATATTTACAATAATCATACATTATTTATTTAATAAATAAAATACTTTCTTATCACTTTTAAACACTAAAATTATAATTAGAAATTTTCTGGAACTTTCATATTTTTGGTACTTTAATTTAGTTATATAATATTTGGCACGATTCTTCAAAAGCTAAAGCAAATTCATATATATTATTAAATAACTCATTTATATATATATACTATTTACATACATATATTCGAAAGTTTTTTTTTTTTACTGGTATTTAAAAACAAAATCGTCTCCCCTACCCCAGAAAAAAAATATCCCCATATAAGTAAAACGTTACAAAATTTCTTAATTGAAACAAAGAAAAAACGAAATTCAATATTTTTTGTGTGAACTTTTGACAATTCCAGCTAAATGATTTTGAAATTCGGAAAGGCAAAAAGATTGGTGTTACGATATCATTTAACAATCACCGGCTTTTTGTCGGCAATATTCCTAAGAATAGAGATCGTGACGAATTAATTGAGGAATTTACCAAACACGCACGTAAGTGGTATATTTCAAAATCATAACAAAAATAAAGAGAAAAAAAAAATAAAGGTTACTTGAACTACTCTAAATTACCCTTTCCCTTTCCGTTTCCCTTCCTCTAACTCCATTGAATTCGAGTCTTATCATATTAAACAATCATATTAGACATTCCTAATTACTGCGTTCCTTTTCGAAAAACAAAAAAACCAAATTTACATAACCTAAAAATTATAAAATTATGAGTTTTAATTTTAAATTTTACACACAAAATTTTGAATTAAATACCCATAAAATTCGTTGCAAATTGATAAGAGTCGGTATGTTCATAAATAGCTGCATAAATATTTATACACATATAAATAAATGTGTGCCTATGTACACACTACAAAGGAATCATATGTATATTTTACCATTCCAATTCCTACTACAATTCGCAATACATCATTTACAAGTTTGAAAACAAAATATTGGCTATGGGGTCAGTAATTGGCGGAAATGGCGGAAAAGCTCATTTTGTTAGCGACAGTTGCAGAATATAACAACAAAGTGTATTTAAAAGATATTATAAAACAATTGGTATGTAAACTAACTATAGCCTGGGTAAAGCGCCAACACCAACAAATACGAGAAGCGCATGAGCTAGATTATGGTGGTCAATGAAAAAAATTAAAACGAATTGGATTTTTGTTTTGCAATTATCGCTTAAAAATGCTGCGTATAAAAGCAAAATAATTTATTTGTAAATCAATAACCAGTTCAAAAGCACAAATACAAACGGGACCTTAGCGGAAACTTTTTTCCGGGACCCCTTTTAAGCTTGCCATTATTCAGTGGTCCCTTTTGTATTTGAGCCTTTGGTATGGTGCAAAATTATTTGTGTATGTGTGCGTTGTTTAGCACTTATCGTCCATTCAATGCACAATTAAAGTGCGAAATTATTAGAAAATACAACAAAAATTATATATTGATTACGAAATTAATAAATAATATACATTTTTTTTATTATAAAACGAAAACTGTAGCTAACAATTTATACCTGGGAAAAAAATCAACATAAAAATCTAGTAAAATTAATAACAAAAGAATAAACAAAACCACATATCAAAAATATCGAAAAAACATTGCCAAAATTTTTTGTTTTTTAGTTTAAATTATAGAAAATATATATAAATTTTAAGTACCAATTATGAACATTCATCAGTATGTTTTGTTCTGCGTTGCAACAAATGCTGCAGAAAGGAGAATATGGTGGTGCAACGGTAACAGCTCAACGTTTTAAAAGCGTTAAACAAATTTTTGATGTGGAAAAATGCAATTTTCGATTAGTATCAAATTAGTTTATATTCAATTACAATGATTGTATAATTAATTAACAAGCTAGTTGAATACAAAGCCGAGTTATAAAAATATTGAGCACTATATTTGTTATAAATTAAAAGAAAAATATATATATATTTAAATTTGTTTCGTAGAAAAAAAAAATTGTTAAAAAAAACAACAATAAAATCTGTGTTACGATAGATTTTTTGCCAAGAGCAAAAGTGTTGAAGTATGTTAACACTATTGTTCTCTTATAACAGCCTCTTTAGCAGATTTATAACAGAGTGCAAAGAAATTCAACAGAGAATGTTACTGTTAATGATTAACATTTCCTCTGCTCTAGTTCTGTTAATGTTTCTGTAGCAAAATCTATCAAGGCATACTCTGCTTTCACTTAGAAGGCTATAAAGTGATATTTTTCGTAAATGAAATAATTAAAAATATATATAAAAGTTATTGTATTGTTATAAAGGCATTTAATACAATTTATACCACAAGACAAGCGTTGCAATTAAATTTTTAATAATTAATCACAAGAAATTATAAAAAAAAACCAAAAAAACAAAATTTGTATCATGGTCTTAAGTAAATCTTTTCTTAATTAAAAATGGCAAAATATTTGTAAGTAATTTAACAATTATATTTATTTGTATAATTGAATTACATATATATATGGATGAAATGAGCTTAAAAATGTCATTGCATCACATCATGCTCCTTCAACGTATGGAAAGTACTCAATGAAAACGTAACTCGATATAGAGAGTAATTCGTGTTTAGCAGTTAGATTAACCTGAATTTTTCGTATTATCGCAATTAAAAGTACCTCGACTGTTTGTACATACATATGTACGTCTTGTAAATTGTCAAATATTTTCAAATTTTCAAAAGTATAGAATTTTCATACAATATGCAGCAAAATCATTAACAATCTTTTTGAATCAAAAAAGAAAAAATTTGTGAAGTGCAATAGTTGAAGATTTCTTTGTACAACATTTTTAACAAAAAAAACTTAAATTATTATAAAGCGCAAGTGGATCCCTAAGTAGCTCTAACTATCGAGTTGCGTTTTTCCATTACAGTCTTTTTTATATCCATGCAACAATTTTTGAAGCAGCTGTTGTTAATTAGGATAAATTTATATTTATAAGAAGAAACAAAATTTTAGTGACTGGCTACTGCTATAAAAAAATACCTAAATACAAGAAAGCAACAATATTTTTTTGTTTCATATTTACAAATATTATGTTCTATCTCTGTATACATATTATCTCGATATCTATCTATCTCTGTGCCTCTGTCTTCTTCTTCCTTACTTTAAGTTTGTTATGCCTTACTTTATATCATTCTAATATACTCATGAGAAGATGAATTCCGAAAAAGATGATGGAAAGCGCTATTTGCAAGTTATTGTTTTTTAAATAATTAGTACCTACAACAAGGATTGCCAATTTTACATTTTTAATTGCTACATAATTAGTCGAATCACTTCAACAAAATATAAATAAAAGAAAAACCCATTATATAATTTCTTATTGTTAAATGTTTAATATTCGGCCCATTTTTCTGAGGAATCATTTTTGAAAATATATGGTAATGACTGGAGAAATACTATTTAATTATATAAATTTATATAAGTAAAGAGAACCGATATTTTTTTTAAACATATTGTTTAACCCACAAAATCCCAAAGATAACTCCTAGTCCATAATCAAACACAGGCGATTTGTAGTTCGAAACAAACCTCTGTACATTACTCATATCAAAGAATATTAAACCATAAATTGTATACTGAAAGCAAAATAAATAATTAATAAAACGAAATTTCTTTCTCTAAATGTGTTTAAAATATTTTTAAAATATATTTAAAATTAAATGAAAGATTTGTATAAGCCATTTTCGAAATATTATGTGCATTCAAGAAATATGATAGTAATAGATTGGCAATCATAATTAGCATTAAAACTAAAATATGCATACAAATTTTTGACAGAATTGAATAAATATTATCAAAAATATTAAAATTCTGTATATTTATGCGTATAGTGCAACTTTTGAGACTATAACTGTATTTTTTCATTTAAGAATATTTTGCTCTAAATTCTACTAAAGTTCATAGTATAAATTAAATTTGAAAAAAAAATTAGCTTTTAAAGGTTAAAAATACGTATTTAAGGCTTTTAAAATATCCTAAAAAATTGTATTTTTTTATCAATTCCTAAATGTGTTTATTCATTTTCAAACTATATAATATATACAAACAATATACTCAAGCATTTTACAAACATATGAACATACTCGTACTTATAAACAACCACCCATGATGTGATCACTTGTGCATCACAGTTTGATTCATTTGTGTTTTATCTACATATAGTATATCTATACATCAATACATATTCAATTATACATACAATATATTTATATAATTGTTTCCATTAAATATTATGGTTTCACTTGGTGTCTCTAGTTTACAGAAAATATATGCCCAAAATGAATATGTACACAACTACACATCTAAATATATCTACCTAATTTTATGATTATGTTAAATGTATATACTTATATAAAAAATGAAAAGAAAAAGAATTTATATATGTATCGAGCAAAATTATTAGGCAACATAATTCGATATTAATTTTTGATTAAATGTGCCTTTGTGAAGTTTTCTTTATTTTGCTGTTAGGTCATTTAAAATAACGAATATTGAATTAAAATTGCTATATAATAACAAAATTTTACGCATATGTTACAAGAGAGCAACAATAAATAAGGAAATAAATTTTGGCATTGGTTTTTCAATCATTAAAAAAACAAAAAAAAATCCTAATCCAAAAAAATAAATAAATAAGTGATATAAAAGTTTAAATCATTTATAGCATTTCTGCACATTCTTAAATGTATTTTTTATGTACATATGTGCAATTTATTAAATGTTGTTAAGATCAAATCAACTAATTAAACTGCGTGAAAATTCACTATTTTGCATAACAATGTGCCTTCCAATGCTTGTAATGTAAAATTTTGCAATTTTCTGCGCTTTACCCCCAATCATCCGCAGATGAGATTTTATAAAAAAAAAAAAAACAAACAAAGAAGAAAAAAATATTTTATTATAAAACTTACATTAAGCGCTACTTCCGGTATATTGCTGTTATCTATCCTGTCCATATGTTATAATACGATATTAATTATTTGTTGTATTTTTTAATAAACTTCCACAAATCGACCTAAATATTTTCTTGAATTTACTTAGTAATTTCTAAAATTTTACTAATTTCTGTCCGTTTTTTTATTTTATTTTATTTTTTTTTTTTGCTCTGCTTAAATGTTTATTTTTGTTGCGCGCACATACACATAGCTGGCCTTATTGAAGTGATCATCTACAGTTCACCAGATGATAAAAAGAAAAATCGTGGATTCTGCTTTCTCGAATATGAATCACACAAAGCTGCCTCGCTGGCAAAGCGAAGACTTGGAACTGGTAGAATTAAGGTAAGTAAAAGAGTACTACTTGCTATACAATTTTATTTTAAATAGTGAAAAAATTAAATAAAAGGAAATAAATGATGTTTAAATGATAATTATAAACATTATATAATTTAGGTTTGGGGATGTGATATCATTGTCGATTGGGCCGATCCGCAAGAAGAACCAGACGAACAAACAATGTCTAAGGTAAAGGTCTTGTACGTAAGGAATTTGACACAAGATGTTAGTGAGGAAAAATTAAAGGTAATTTTTCTATTTACATTATTATGAATTAGTTCAATTAAAACAATCATTTTTCATTTTCTCTTTATTTTAAGGAACAATTTGAGCAATATGGTAAAGTTGAGCGCGTTAAGAAAATCAAAGACTATGCCTTCGTACATTTCGAGGATCGTGATAGTGCAGTGATTGCAATGCGTGGCCTCAATGGCAAGGAGATTGGCTCTTCTAATATTGAGGTAGTTACTTGCAAAGCTTCTCTTACAACATTATATTTAAGGAATTAACATATTCATTATCTAGGTTTCACTTGCCAAACCACCATCGGACAAGAAAAAGAAGGAGGAAATCCTACGTGCACGTGAACGCCGCATGATGCAAATGATGCAAGGACGTCCCGGCATTGTCGGGTAAGTGCGCCAACACTCAAGTTACTTACTACACATAAATATAAATATTAGCATTAAACTAAATTTTCATAAATACACTAATAAGTCACCATCACTCCCACTATTGGCGTGTCAAAATTCAAAAATAAAATAATTTTTAAAAATATTACTAACCTAATGTGAATACAAACATACAAAAATGCATATCGGCTATTATGCTGCCCATTTCCTGGAGGTAGCTTCGGATTACAAAAACGAAATTCATTCACCACCACCACCCACTTGTTATAAGCGCGTGTGTGTGTGTTTGTGGATCATCCTTAACCGTTTGAATTCGTAAAATGCTCTTTACTTGTAATATCAATTTTTTTATTAATTTTATATTCTCTCTCTTTCTCTCTCTCTCTATATATATATATGTATACACATACTTCCTCTACGTACTCAATAACTCAAACATTGACTCAAATCGAATAATTTTTGTGATTGCTCACAATTTACCAATGAAAACCCACAAAACAATATAACAACAATACAAATAAACAAATCAAAATTCAAAACAAATTTAAAAAAATAAACAAAAACGAATAACAATATCAAACCAAAAATAACGATAATCACAATTGTTACATTGTTGCATTGGTGCAACCGCGCGTACCGTTGCTCCCTGTGTTTGTGTGTGTGCCCATGTAAATTTTGTAAACTCATACTAGCTATGAACAATTGTCTCCATACAGAAACTTGTCGCCTACACATCCCAATATGATGACCTTAGCTGCGCCAATGCGCCTGCCTGGTGGTCCACGAATACCGCTGCGTGCGCCAATACCACGGGATTACGGTAAGTCACATAACGTTTATTACAAATAAAATAAAACAAAATATAAAATTCATCTTACTTAGCGTAAAAACATATCAACCAAATTTTTTACATAAATATGTACTTTTTTGATGGTTTATGTATGTTACGTATGCATATATAATGTATCTCTACTACTACAAGTTTCAATATATTGAGTAAATGTTTCAAAATATTCAAACAGAATAAACCATAAAAAACTAAAGAAGTTTCTTTTGAAAATTATATCTAAGAGAATATTAATACGCTAAGCGGTGTTAAATTAGATTTGCAGTTGACATATACATACTACATAACTACCCATTTATCAATTGGGAACGTTTATTAAACTTATAAAGTAATATATAAAAAAAAATTCAGAAGTAATCTTAACAATCAGCCATTAAACAATATACCAGTATACGTACATGTATTTCGCTAGGCAAATTGCCACCTTTTGAACTATATGAAGTTTATTTAGTATTAATTATTTGATTGCCAATACGCTCAGCGCAAACACTCATACGAGTACATATGTACGCGATTATATATTTATGTGTTGGCCTAAAACAAAATCAAATCTTACATTAGAATTATCTAACTTAAAACTAATAAGTTTCATATAGTTTCCTATTTTAATTACATTATATATTTCAATTAATTCCAAAATTTATTTATTCTTTTCATTTAAGTTTCTACTAACAATTAACAACCCCTTCCACTATCCCTTTACATAGTTTATTCAATCGTTTGTTTTCTACCCAATCGATTTCTTTCACCGCCAACTTATACCTCAGCTTTTGCAAATAGCTTATAATCCACATGTTATCATGCATTTTCTTCTCATTAATTTTCATCAAATTTGTTAGTAAAAGAAAAAACTTTTTATTTTTATTCAAATTAACCAACTAAATTATATAAAAATCTAAGCTTCTTTTGTTTTCGGTGTTTGTTGTAATTTGTACAAAAAGTTATTAGTAATAACTGAATATTTATGTTATCAAAATTAATAGTGCACAATTTTGTTAAATCTCGATTGATTCTCTGACATTGTCGATAAGTTATTAGTCGCTAAAGTTCATACATGTTGGTTTGTTCTTGTTTTCCCATCAGCTATATGTGATATTTCTTTGTGATTTCTTAAACAAACTGCATGCTCTTTGGTGTTTCTTTACTATTGCTACTACTTGTAACCACTGCATAAATTTGTTTTTATTCCATTTTATATAAAATAATATAACTCAATCAAAAATATGTACAAATATATATATATATAAATATGTTTTATTAAATTAAAAGGGACTGAGAACCAAAACAAAACATTCAATGCTAAATATTTTGACTTCAATGTTCAGTAATTTTAGTGATAAATTTCTCTTTACTATATTAAATGTTGCAAATGCCTCTACGTATAGTGAATTTTAAGCACCCCGTATACTATTTGATGTTATAATTGTGGTAAGTAATATAACTTTTACAATACAAATATCTGCCATTAACGTACACTCGGCTGTTAAAAACAACAACAACAAAAAAATTTGATATAAAAGAAAGACCTAAAGACTCGATGAAAATACTTTCTATCAAAAATGGAATAAAAACAAATAACCTACAACTTAATTAGAAAATGTTATACTTACATTAAAAAATCTAACTTGAATTTAACAACAAACTCCCTAATATTGAATACACCCCCTTTCGCCCTATACAAATTTGTATTTTTAAACCATAAATTCGAAGAAATCATCCCCCAACAACACCTTATTAAACAGTAAGAAGAATTTACAAACAAAAACGCCGACGACGGTTTCAAATCAGTCATAATAAAATATAACAATTAGTATAGTATACGTCTTGACCAACGCCCTGTAACGTATAACACACCGTACGCTATGCTCCACCATTAAGTATCAAGATTACTTTCACACCGCTCAAAACACTCTTAATTTGTAGCTATAGCAAACTATAGCATTTTTCGATTTAGTTTGAGTATAATTTTTTTATTTTAAAATATTTAGTACATTTATAGGTAATCTTACATTATAATATTTCAAATGGAAACAAAAAGTATAATGTTTAAAAAGTGGTATCAAAGCAAAACTTTATAGCACTGCCTCACTGACAGTTATCCAAGATCTGTTTTTTTAAGAGAATAGCTTAAAGTTTCCGCCAGATAGATTTAAAGACGATTTGATGAAAGAAAACTATGACGATGCTACTTTCCACAGTAATATACACGTATAAAGTAAAGTCCTTTACAGCCAGGTGCAGATTTTTATTAAATGAAACTAGCAAATTCTGAAGTAGTTTTCAGCAAATTGCTTATGTCTATGTATTAATAGGATAAGTGAAAAATTTTTGCTGCAGAAAATTCGTCATAAAAGAAGTTAATATTTTCTGTGGTAGTTTATTAAAAGTTTACCTAGGCCTTTCTAACTTTTCACTTACACTATTTCAACTAATGGAAAAAAGTAGTATAGTATAGTTAATGTATGATTGCATACATATGTATTTACTAAAAATGTAGACTAGTTTACTTTGTATGTAGATAGTTATGAGTTTAAACATTAAAATACTAGTGAATAAAATAATTATTAGAGAGGCTGTTGTTATAAAGTTTAGCTTTGCTATAAAGAAACATATACAAATAAAAGTATATGTATTAAAAAATTCATATTTTCTAAATTATTAAATAATTAAAAATCTTATTTTTATTTAATCTATTTTGTTGTTTTGTAATTTTCGAAATTTGGTCAACATTTTTTTTAATAATTTTTAGAAGAAAATATTGAAAGAAGCTCGAAAAGAATACCACAGCAAAATTTTTCCCAATTTATAGATTATGATTACGACTTTTACGGTTATTCGGATTATCGTGGCGGCTACAATGAATCCTATTATGACGATTTTTATCGCACCTATGATGGAGAGTACTTCTTTGATTATCCACCGAGCGGTGTAACACCATTACCAACTGGTGGGCCCGCTGGTGGACTGCAGAGAACGGCCAGAAATAATGTGGTGGGTCTAACATTCTTCTAAAACTACTACTTACTTACTACTTACTACTACTATTAATACATACTTTTCCTACTTTTACAACTACACCCTTACACTATACATTTCCCGCAGTTCAAAATCTACCATAACCACAAATACGTGTACACTTTGAAAATTATGCTTGAAGCTATTCGGCATTTGGAATGGCAAAATAGTATAAACTTTTTGTGTTCACTAAACACGAATGCTTATGGCAATGTATACGATTAGTGGTATATTTTTCTTTTCCTTTCTCAAAATTCTATTAGTGAAGCTACTAGTATCTTTTGAAATTTTATAAATAAATGCTTTTAATATTAAATAAATATTTTAATTTTAATTTTTCTTTTCACGCTTTTTTATTTAAATTATGCTTTTCTGATTTTTGGGATTATACAAAATTTAATACCACTAAAAATCAAAGTATACGCAAACGGATAAAAACAAAGACACAAACACACATGAACTTAAATTTAACATTGTCAACATTGTTATGTACCACCACTGCAACGACAACGCGAAGACAACATCACAAATTCAAAAACTGCCATTACAAGGCATCCAAATTTTGGCCTTACTTTTTATGCTTTCAGGGATACTTTTTTGAAGCCTCATTTAGAATTAAACTTATTTGAAACCTTATTTGTATCTTCCGTACATTTGTATTCAGTCCCGTGAGTGTTAACTATTACGTACATCCACCACCCTCCTATGTATAGTAAAATTAAGAAACTACTAAATCAGTTGTAGACATGAATTCATCCACAATAACATATTGCGTTTTTTTCTTTAAATACTACAAAAATATCACAAGTTCTCTAATAACACATATTAAATTTTTTAAATATCCTTCATTTGATCATGCTTTTGTTGGTTAACAGTTTCATTTTAAGTTTTATTGTTTTAATTGCTTTTTTGCTCAATCAAATTATGCAATTTTTTATTGTTTAACAATTCATTGTTTTTAAATAAATAAAATTAATTAGGTATTTAAGCTTAAATTACTGTGCTTAATTGTTACATGGTTTTACTATTAACGAATTTTGAAATATTTGATAAATATACATTATGACGAGCTCATGTATCTTCAATGACTAAATCTAAATTTTGTATAATATTGTTGTTTAAAAAAATTTTACTACATATGTGCGTACACACCTAAGACGCAGTTAACACTAAAAAGGAATTGAGCTGAACAAAGTGTGCTATTATAATTTTATAAAGACATTGAATTCACTAGCTTTTGAATATTAAGGAACCTTTCATAATAAATAAGTAGAAAAATAAAAATTAAAAATAACAACTTTATTCCAACAAGTTGTGGTCCACTTTGCAAACACAAGATTATAAATCAAGATGATCTGGCCGTACTAAAATATATAGCTAATCCTTGTTTTATGCAGAAATTGTTTTCTATTAATTTCATTTATATGAATTTGTTGAAAAATTAGCGCGCAGCAATATTTTATTTCGTCTTAAAAATAGTCAACAAAATTGTATGCCACTTCTGATTAATAAAAGTATTTAAATAAAATATTCATATGCTGCAACTTACTCGTTTTCGGCTATGTCCTGTTACAAAAACTTACGATGTTGCTGTTAATAAACATTATCAGCGATAACGATTTATTGGAACGGAAGCCACTCCTTAATATTTAAGGGCCTATGCATCTGAAAAGAGAATAATTTTTATTTTTTTTTTTATTTTCATTTTGCTTATGTTAATTTGTTTTATTATATTCTATAAGCCACTCACTGCCGCCTACTAACCTAAGCAAACTAACCTTAAGCTTATTCATTTCATTTATCTACCACTAGCGCTTCACGTTTGATATTTTACGCATTGGTATAAGTTAAACAAAATTTAGAGTGTATGTAAAATTCGATTAAATATTCTCTTTATTTTGAAATTCTGTAATTCAAAGCTCTCATAATTATTTATTATGTTAAAAACGAAATACTAAAAACCTAAATGTGTCAATCGCAAACTTCATTAAAAATTTTTGCTATTTAATTAAAAGCAAAACTCCTGAAAATATTTTTAAAGAACATATATTTTTCAACTGCCTACAATTAACTTTAGAGCATCGTTCTCCAAAAAAGTTAAATGCAGGCAAAGGTAAATATGCTCAAATGGGGAAATTATGTTTTACGTAAATTCTATTTCTACTTATACCAAATAGTGCATTAATACAATTATTTTAAATTATTTATGAAATAGCTATCTTAAGCTTATAAATAGGTATATTGAACAAATATATATTATTATGTTGTAGTTGGCGACTTTTGAAGTTGCTACGCAATTATGTAAGCATACAAAATTTATATATTCTCGGCATACAGTGTACAAAACCAAAATTTTATAAATTCTTGGGAATATATGTATATACAAAGATATAGAAACTTTTTAGAAAAATGACATGTTTTCAAAGTACAAATTGTGTCGCTTTGATTTTGGAATCATTACGTTTAAGCTTTATACTTTTCACAATTTTTTTTTATGAAGACATTAATTTTTATTATAATTATTCATATTAATTGATTTTTTAACATGAAAATCTAACGCGTTAATTTCGATTTTTTTCTTTTCTTTCTTTTTCTTTTTTTATGATTCGGTAAAAAACCAAATATATCATCTTAAAAAAATTATATATATGTTCGTCAAATCACAAATACCAAATACAAAACAAAACTTACCTATCACAACCACAAATATCAATGAACAATTTGAAAATAACGCGCACTATAACTGCGAAATTTCAAATCTGCAACCACAACCATTTGTTTGAAAATGAAACCATTTCAAAATCACCTTTTATATCTTTCGAAAATGTACCTCTCTCTCTCTCTTGCAATTATGTTTATCCAAATATGCTAAATGAAAAAATTCTTTTTTCACTATTGATACGAAATCGAATATGTGCCGGAATAAAATCTTAAAATACCACAAAAATTGAATGAATTGGAAACCGCCCTACAATCGTTACTTTAAATCAAACTCCGTTTAATGTTTATCGATAACCATTTACTAAAATTATCTACCGTATATAACCATTGAATAATTGTCTAAAAAAAAATATAAATTGTATTGTTAATTTGGCTACCACCCTTGGCGACTCATTTATATGAATTTATCTGATCTTTATGGATGTGTACATAATGTCTTGTATACAAAATGTTTGTGCGAATTAATTTACATCGGAAAAAAATTAAACAAACGCAAACTTATCGTCCAAACATCACCAACCAAATCGAACTACCAACCAACCAATAAACCAACCAACCGACCAATCAACCAACCAACCAACTTATGTAAATACGCAAATGCATTGTATTTTTTTTCGATTAAATATTACAAAATTCGTGATACCTGAAAACACCAAATAACCAACTTTAACTATACATAATTAAACACACTGAATCATACAATACATACATACATATACGCACACATACATACATACATAAAAACAATGTATATGTACATCAAAACTGATGTTACCAATAATTACAATAAACTCATAAAAAACAACAACTACAACAATTCAACAACAACAACAACAACTACCACTACTACTACTACTACTACTACTACTATCACAACAACAGGGGGTTGGTCGTGGACGTGGAATCACAGCCACGCGTGGCCGAGCCGTTGGGCTCCGTGGCAACATCAACCGTCAGGGGGCCCCTCAAGCGGCGGCGGCGGTGGTGGCGGCGGCGGCGGCGGTGGCAGTTCAGCGGGGGGCCACCGCTCAGGGGGCTCAGGCGGCAACCGGGGTCCGTGGGGTGGGACAAATGCGTCCCAACGCTCGTGGCACCCAGCACGCCAAGCCGCTACAAAATTTACCAGGTGAGAAATTCATATCAACCAAATATATTACAAGAAAAAAGTAAATAAATAAAATAGTGCATCAACAACAACAACAAGAACAACTACGAAAAGCAACAACAAGAAATTTGGCTAATTAAACAAATATATATATATATATATATATATATATATGTAAATATTAATATATATATATATATATATGTATATGTATATATGAATATATGTATGTATATTCGTATACATACAAATAACTAAAAACAAAAACAAACAATCACAGCACAGCAGCCAGTGTGTAAGCAAATTTAGTGTATGTACTATTTATGTATATGTAACAGTAGCAGTAATCGTTGCTAAAGCAAAAGCAAAAACAACAAGCTAAGAAAAGCCGAATTAGATTTTAACTGGCTAATATGTAATTAGATTAGTTTATAAATATTTTTTTATATACATACATACATATGTATCTAGTACATTCGTGCATATACTCGTACATACATACTTGCAAGCTTAAAGCAAGCATAGAGTTGAATTTTGTAAATCTTAATTAATAAAACTATAAATGTAAAGTGTAAACGGATTTTCTCTTAATAACACATGCACGCACGCACACACCCAAACAAAAGAAAAAATACAAAATACGCATATAGATGCAGAATGCACCAACATGTGCATATGTATGTATGCATGTGCGTGGGATGCAGCAACATTATTGCAGTGCTCGTTGCTCATAAATGAACTGTGTACTTTACTGTTATTTACGTATATTAGTGAAGTTCCTTTGAATTGTGCTACGACTACTATTTTAAGTAATTTTTTATTATAACTATATATAATACAGATTTAATGTTGTTATTGTGCTAGCGGAATATACATACATAGTTTTTTCTTTAATAATAATTATTATTATTTTTTTTTACTACATACCATACTAAATACGTACTACAAACAATTCATTTCTATTGTTAAATCATTATCTTGAAAGTTAACTGTTACTATAATGATTATCGCAAATATATTTAACGGTTTTTTATTAAACGACAACAGCTTTAGTTATTAAAAAAACCGATTCTCTTAGTTTTTGAAAACTTCTTGCAAGCAGTTACTACATACAAAATTTTACCAAAATTAGACAATACTTTTTAAAATTTCAAAACTCGGTTGCCTAATTTTCTCTTTGATATGACTTTCTCTTTCTCTTTCAAATTTTACTATATTAGCAATATGTTACTGTATAATTTGCGTAAATCTATATTAAATATATATATTTTTTTCATTTTTGTTGTAAACGTAATTTTAGTAATGCGAATCATAATATTAAAATAGTTGAAATTTTTACTTTTTTATATATTCTGCAATTTGTAATTATTTTATGCATAATTTTAGTCTTTTAATTTAAACATTAATTACTTGATAAATGATTACTGATATGAATAATTTGTTGTTTTTCTTAATAATATTAATAATAATAATAATAACACACAATTAATTTTAAAGTAAAGAAAATATTGTATTTTGTTCGCATTTTGTAAGAAAGAAAAAACAATTAAATAAATATGAGACCTACGTTCTCGCACTCGAACTATTACTTGTGTGCTCTTTTTCACTTAATTCAGTAGTTTTTTTTTCCATATAAATTTGTTTCGCTTATTTTTTTTTATGTAGTATTTATTTATATATATGAATCATTTTTTGTTGCATTTATTGTGGGCAACAATGCAACGCATCCGGTAATGGTAACCGGCAAAAAAAGCAATGAAAATGTAAAAATTCTATATTATTTTCTTGCCCCCCTCCCCCTTATATTCGACAAATCAGTCGTGTACTGAAGTTTTTACTGCGTTGTTGGTTGGGTTTAGCGCAGAAGTTTGTATGTGTGCACTGTCACTTTTGACAGTTGCGTATCGGTGTTGCACAATTTTACACTATCTTCCTATAGCACAAGGGAATGAGTAAAATTTACTTTCTCGCCCAAAACAATGCGTATGTGTATGCCGTGCCAGCTTAGTCTACAGCTTTTTGTGTCGCTACTTCTTGTCTCTTACACTTACTTCTACATGTATACGTATTTTATAGCCCTTGCATGCATTTATGGAAGTTTTTGCATATTTTATATAAGTAAACTTATTAAATGTTTTCTGCGTAATCAAATGTGCGTTGTTAGTGTAAAAAAAAAACAGAAAAAATTTATTTATGTATGCACATAACACTCATTAAGTAGATATAACTCTAATAGAAACTTCATTTCTGCCTGATTTATTTTTTTTTTTTTTTTTCAAAACACTGGCGCATTAAAACACCACGCAAATCTTTAGCGACCCAACCGAGGCACATTTATTTTAACGTACTTATGTACATACCTTTTTGTATGTATGTAAATTTATTTATATTCTTCATTAGACTTTCCTACTTAATTCTTTGGTAAAAAAGTATTATAATGAATCGATTAGTATTTAATAGTTAAAAGAAAATGTACCAGTTGCATTTTCCAACGCACAATCACTAGTAAAATCGTGTCCATTTAAGAGCATCTTTGGTTATGTGATGCCTAACGAAATGATTTGCATTAGGCTTTCCCATATGCATAAGATTAAGTATTGTATGTGTTTTCTCCATGACAAAAAGAAATCGGTTTCCATAAAAAAATAAAAGTGAAAAAATTGAAATAAAATCAATTCGAAACAATCAAAAGAACGAACATCAATCAATCAAAAAGACAAAAACCCGGCCTACAATTTTAACGATTATTTGTTAAATATAAAAAAGAAATCCAAAAGCAATCAGTTGCAAATCTAAAACCAAAAAAAAAACAAATTCAAACCAAACACCGCACAAAATTCTTATTTCTTCAATTGACGTGTATATATAATTTTTTTAAGATTCGATATTTGTTTTGTATTGATTCGAAATATTTTATAAACAACATACTAATAACACTTGACATAACTAATTATAAAATCTAATATGGTAGACAAAAGCAAGTTTTTAGTGGTTTTTAAATGTTTCTTACGTACATAAGGAAGGTGCTTTGAATAAAGTGAACAGACCGTACATACAGTACGGTCCAGTACATAAATTAGCCTTTTATATCATGATTTTAAAACAAAATATTTACCTACCGGAGCCTTTACTTGAAATATTCCGATCACAAACTAAAAACCTCGCATTTTTGGAGGATTTCACTCATTTTTTACGAAAATTGTTAGTTTTTTTAATATTTTTCTCCGTTTTTCTATAATCTTAAATTTATTCAATTATTCAATGTTAAAATCATGAAATGTTAAAAAGAAAATTGGAAAACGGCAGCTCGAAGTTTAAACAAACACTTAATGATGTATCAGACAGCACCCACTTCTCGGGTATCTGAGCATCTAGAAAATTGTAACTTCAGCATCACAAATAATAATTGCACTATTAAGCATTCAGTGAAGCGTTGAGAAAATAAGCATTAAGTGCAAAGTAACCTTCGAAACAAAATCATGATCTCTCTCAGGTTCTTTCGTCAGCAGTTCTGGAACCTCTTCATCATCGTTTGTTATCATATACAATATCTCCCTTAACATGTATTCTTAAGCTTGTATTAAAAATACCTTACGCTAGAATCATGGCTATATCCTTAATCACGAGCAAAACTACAATTTATGTAATCGATTATTGGTGCAATAACCACATACAGTTGACACCTTCATTAGGACTTTCAATATCAATTCGAAAGTTGTGAACAATGTCACAAAAACCAAAATAAGTTGTGACGAGGAAATCGCAAATATTTTTGTAAGTATTTTATAAAAAGAGCGATTAATACAAAAATGAGGTTAGCGTGTTCTTCAAATTAACACTAATGACTTTTTATACGGATAGCCTGTTCCAGAAACTAGAGAATATTTACGAAAAGAAAGAAAGTTGTGGTCCGAATTTTTCTAAATTTTTTGTTAGCTACAACAAATTCAATCAACAATAAAAATATCATTCGTTTTAGATTTTATTTAAAAATATGCTTTGATGTAATTAATAATAAGAAATATTAAAAAGAAGTACAAAATTAAACGCACCCAAACTCAATAAACAGCTATGTCTGTCTGTGCGTACAGCTGAAAACTGATATTAGATTGAAGGCTATGGTTTGGTCAACGGTAGTATGGTATGGCACCAATAATCGGAAACAGTGCTGCCCATAAACTGATCAGCTTTACTATAGAGTCCCTTTCACACTAGAACATTTGTGTACGAGCAACAACTCTGATTGCTGTATTTAAATACGTGGTGAGGAAGGTGAAGTTTCTCAAAAAGTTTTTCCAGCTTTAACCCCGCAGCGCACACTTCCAATAACAAAAAAGTGTGGCAAGTCTCAAATAGGCAAAAATAAAGAAATACTTTCTTACGCCCTATACTTTTACAGATTTGATTCAGCTTGTTTTCATTCAGTGTAAAACAGTTAAAATAATTCTTCTTTTATTCTCGTGTGAAGGGCATAATTATTCCACTTCCGAATTAATCTTAGTAGAGAACATACGTATACCTAGTTCTTCGAGAGAGATATAATTTCTAATCAAATCTTAAGTGAGTTTACGTGTGTTTTTTATTCTTTAGACCACATTGTAAAAATCGAACTAACAAAGCGATTTTTTGGATGGTTATAGTTATATCCTGGTACTTCTGATATGGAAAAATTAAGTGAATTTTAATTTGGCTTATCTTATCTCATCTTATCCAAAAGAGCACAATTGCTTTGCTTTAATTGCTGATTTTCTTTGCGCTTTATTGGAAGTATAAACCAGCTATTTTTATCAAAAATGATCAAAAATGATCAAAAATTATCAAAAATTATCATGAATATCTTCAACTAGAATGCAAATTTTTACATTATATTGGGATTAAACAGTTTTATATAATGTAATTTTAACATTTTAGAACTTTCAATTATTAATGAAATTTATATCTAGAATTGTTTTAATAAATTATTCTAAAATAAATTGTAAATTAAATTTTAAACGTGTCATAAGTCATAAGCTTTTCGAATACTCCACTACGATTAGACACTGCTAAAAATCGTGCAAATCGGTTATCGCTGGTTGCACTGAACTGCATATTAGTCCATATATAAGAAAAATTAAAGGTTTTCAACGCATAAAATATGATTTAAAAATCATTCTCAAGTAAAGATAGGCAGTTATGGCTTGTGACGTACTGATATGTACATAATTATGTAAATATATATATATATATATATACCCATTCATACGTGAAAATTACACAAATTAATACTCATTACATACTAAATACCCGGCTTATTAATAAATATATTTTCTAAAATTCTTTTCACCACAAAAAGCAACCCAGCTACACTACAATTATCCTTCTGCCTGAAAAGAAAAAGAATTTTGTAAAGAAATTTTTGTAAACATATTTTGTCTTACATACATTATTATATTAAAAAAGTAGTTATTTTTTAAACTCTATTCATTAATTACGTACATTCATATGACATACATACATACGTGCGTAATTTTTAATGTATGACAATATTATTTTTTAATTATAGATACTAATCGATTCGTTCCGTCTCATTTATTCTTACTTTTTATGCTAAATAAAGTTCATTATGTATGATTTTCTATTGCATTACATCAAATCATACGTCACTTGCATCCTCAAACTTATTAAATACTTATTTATGTTTAAGTGAAGTTCAACATTAAAATATTTTTTTATTTTTTTTTTTAAGAGTTAAATATTATATACAATATTTGCAGAATATATACATAATATTTATACGTGCATATTTTGGCAATATTCAACCAATTATTTTTGCGTCTACATGCATTATTATAGAGTTTAAAAAGTGTCCATATTGTATTGTGTCGTAGTTGTATTTTGTAAGTTGCAAAAAAAAGGTTATGATAATAAAATTTTGGGTAAAAACTTTAAGAAAATAATGAAATGGATTCAAATTTTCTTTTAACTGCGTAAAAAAAAAATAATAAAATATTTACCAATTCAAAATTTTACTATCAAAAGCTTAGCGATTTTCTTTTTTTGCACAAACAGTAGCACAATTTTTTCTAAGTTGCGCATTTTTGTGTTTTGTAGTTTTTCTTTATTTAAGACCTTCATTGCATTTCATTCTAAAACAAACTTCCTTTCCTCCTTTTCTATAAATGAAACATCCTATTTCAGCATCCATCGGAGTACATGCGTAAAAACTTAAATATGAATGACAATTATCGCCAACAAGTGAAATAAATTGAAACACAAGTATTGATGCATAATTAAAAATAAATATACAGAATAAAAATTTTTTATTGAATCTCTACAATCAACAAAATAGAGCACAAGAGCTCGTATGAACTTAAAATATTAATTACAAATAGAGTATGAACGCAAGAGGCCAATCAAAAACCATAACTGAAGAAAAAAAATATATAAAAAAAATTTATTAAATTTTCAAACACAACTTTCGGGGAATATATCTTTTAAATCGATGCTTAAATGAGACAGATGTATGGCACAACTTCGCTTTAGACAGAAAAAAACGAGTTCAAGAAATAACTTAATATTATGCAAATTTTTAACCTCAACTATCAACTTTGACCAACAATATCTTCATCTTTCTCTCGCTCCGCTACCGTTAATAACTGTCTGAACTAATTTATCACTATTTATCATCTATGTAAAACAAGCACTTTTCATATAGACAGACTGTATGTACATATATACACATAACGATTTAATATGTTTGTGTAGTAATGTTATACCTATAATTTTTTGTATTTTGTTTTTTTTTTTTGCCATTTACTATGTTCGTTGATTGATTCTTTTTTAAATGCTCGTACATCACATATTGTAAATTTTCTAACAATATTTCCTTTTGACGAGAGATAAACTGAACAACAAAAAAAAACATTTTGTATTATGCAAAATTTTGTCAAATTCTGGAAATAAATTTCTTCATGTGTAATGATACAATAAAAGCCAAAACATCAAGTGTGTTTTAATTTATTTACACTTTTTTTTGAAATTTTTTTTTTAACTTCACCTTCTCCCAGATCCCACATACATTAGAGCTATACATGCATTTCTCATTTTCATACCGGTTGATGCTTATAATGATTTCATACCCTTTTTCTACTCGCACTATGTTAAAATTATAATTTGGTGTGATTATTTTTTTAAATGCCCAATTATGTAATATATTGTCTATATTTTATGTACTTAATTTTTATTATTATTCTATTTTTGCAATTGGAAATTTAAATTTCAACAATTATGTATTTATGGCAGGAAAAAAAGAGATTGTGAATGGGAAACAGTGTAAAACGAGACGATATTTCGCTTATTGTTAACGGTATTACTACCTTATATGAAGTAATTGAAACTTACTATTTTTTTTTTTTCTTTTCATTCAATATTCATAATTCGGCAAACATCGTCACGAAATTTCACTACTTTTCATTCAAAAAAAAAAGACTAAAATATAAAATTAACAAAAAAAAAATAGCTTGCAATCAAAATTTAAAATACCCAAAATGGGCATAAAAGAAAATAGTAAAGGTCGCAATAAGATGCATTAAAAACAAATCATAAAATTTCGAATTGTTTTTAAATTGCTTTTAAAATTTTATACAACACATATAATAATTCCATTTATTTTTCTCTCTTCTCTTTGAAAAAAACAAACACAAAAAAAAAAACAATAAAAAAATAATACGAAAATAAAATATATTCATGAACAACTAAAAAAAAAACTCCAAATGCCTGCTTTTCCAACAAACGCTACGTTTGACACACAATATTGCAACCCGGCCACCCATAAACACAACAAATACACACACGCGCGCACACATAATTCTTCGCGCTCTATATATGCACATATACCGTTCGTCGTATCGTCACATTGTCTTGATGAGTGCAGTAGTCGGTAAACGTAAATTTGATGGAGGTCACCAAAATCCTGCAGATATTAAGCGACGTTACCCGAGCGGTTTAATCGGAAATGGCAGTTGGGGCAGTATACCGTTACCACAACAACCACTGGGCACCAATGGCGAGCAATGGTACACCGATACATTTCCAAACTGGGGTTAAATAATAATAATAATGGAATTCATATTATAATACAACAACAATTATAACAATAATAAACAACAACAGTGACAGCAACAGCAACAACAATAGCTACAAAAAAACAAAGCGCGTATAATAATAATAAAAACAAACAACAATAACTATTACAACAACTACAATTACTACTACAACAACAACAATAATAACAGCATACTTTACCATATATAACAACCACATCAACAACAACAACAACAACAACAACAACAGTGACCGTAATTTTAACTTGTCAACAAGATCAACAGCGAAAAGCAAAAGAATTAAAAAAAAACACAAGCAAAATTAATACAAAAAAAACAATAACTTTTGTATGTATGTAAATGTAGAAGACGCAACTAATATATGATATACTTGCAAATAGATAGCAACAACAGTAATAGTAATTGCGTTTGCAACAAATTTGTAAAATCTTTTCTTACAATAATATTGAATAGATTTATGATTTACATACAAACATACATACATACACATACCTTAAAGACTTAACGAAATGAAAAAAGAAGCAAAACGTAAATATTAGGGAGTTACAACGTTGTAGTAGTACGAAAATTAAGAGGAAGGAAGAAAATTTTAATGTTGCCTAAATTTATAAACAGGAAAAGAAATTTCACTTTGTGAGAAAGCCAAACACAACTAAAGTCAGTGCGAAAAGCAATAATTATAATAAACACTTTAAACAATACATATACATAATAAGCATATACAAACATACATACAATAATGAAAAAAAAACTGAAAAGAAAAAACAATTTATAGCAAAAAAAAAACTATTTTACACATATTTACACGCAAATACTTACATATGTACTAGATGAAGGAAATGCGCGAAAAGATGCGTGATTTTAATTAAAAAAAAACACACACACACACTCAAAAAGTAACAAATCAACAGCAAAAAAACATAAACAAATCTTTGCGAAAAATAGTTACAATATAAAACTTCAATAAAAAAAAATTATAGAAATGTGTAAGTAGTAGTGTGCAGTGCTCATTTAATAAAGATTCACGTCCGTAAATTTTGCAATTATTATGTAAAAATGTGTATGTACATATGTATGTACAATATATAGAATTGTATAACTTTTAAAGCATAAAATAATTAAATTCAGTCAAAAAAAAAATGCAATTAATAGAATAAAATTAAATAAGCAAAACCACAAAAAGCTTGCAGTTTTAGGAAATGATCTTTCCTTGGTTATTACCGCTACTTTGCGCCATTTTAATTGTGAATCCATGAGTAAACAAAAAGAAAATACAAAAACAAGTTTGAGAATCTTCAAAAGGCAATATGTCCAATGCGTTAATTATCTATCTATAATACATCCGGCAAAAATATGCATTGCAAGCGCATAACCTAAAAACCAATGCAAAAGACACACTTACATTTACAAAACACTCTCAGACACACTTACCAATCTAATTGATTGTAAACTATTTCGATACGCACTTTTATACACAATTATGAACAAAATAAAAGCAAACCAGTAGTACTAAAAACCTTAATAAAATTATGAAATAATATTTTATAGCGAAACCAAACCTGCTCCCCAAATATATGATGGTCTCACAAAAAATTTGTAAATATGTTGCAAAAAGAAGAATGCAAAATTTCAAAATGAAAAATATTAAGAATAATTATAATTTGAGTTTTGCGTCAAAAAATTACAAATTAACAAAAATTAACCTGCAAAAAAATGAAAAAAAAAAACAAAAAATTAAATAAATAAAAAGTAATAGTATTACTTTGGATATTCAAAAAGCTAAGCTTGGCGAAAAAATTTGACTGAAAATTGAAATTTCTTACATGCATAAATAGCAGGTACAGGCATAAATACATATGTACATACCTCTGTGGTACAATCGAGGGTAAATATATATGTGTGTATTATAGAAATATATACATATGTACATATATACGAAAAAAAAAAGAATTTGCAATTTATATGATGCAATTTATAAAATATATCCGACAAACGGTTATTCTGTTCAAAGGAGTGTGAAGTGGCATGTGTGAATTATTATATAATGTCAACATGTTGTATGTAATTAAACAAAATACAAAAAAAACCTAAAGTAAATTTTTAATCAAAAATGACAAAAAATATCGCTTATAAATTGTTTAACAAGAACTTTTTTATTCAATTTTTTTGTAGTTGATAACGAAGAAATTTCGGCAATGAGTATTGTATGTTATATACTATATTTAAACATTTATTTGAATATTTTTATACAACTTAATGAAAATAGTTAAAGAATTTGCAACTTTCTTGGCCTTATAAAAATAAATGATTTTCGTTTTCAAAAGTATTTTCAAGCCAAATTTATTCAAATGCATAATTTTTTATGTACTAAATTAATTGAAAAAGAAAACACTGTAAATTTTCACCAAAATAAAGAGTTATGTTTTATTTCACTATAAACAACACACTTTATACAAATATTGTTGGCAATATAAAATATAATAATAACTTAAATAAAAAAGTTGGATTCTTTTTATTTCGTTAAAAATAATGGGAGGTGTAGATATTATAAACAGATATATAAATACATATTACAAAAAAAAGTGTAAGTGTTGTAGCAAAATACACTGAAAAACAAAAAAATAAAATCGGTTAATGTGAACCAGAAAATTATCAAAAAAAAAAAAACAAACACGGCAACGAACTAATTAAATAAACATCACACTATTGTTTTATCACTTTTATTAACAATAATTTCCAAAAAAAAAAAATATTATTAAAAAAAGAATAAGTGCAAGAGCGAGCTGTATTAAAATAAAATGTAATACAAGCTGAAATTAAGCCTCATTTTACGGCAACAAAATATGGATTAAAGATGAAAATCAATATCACACATGCATATAACAATTAAATAAAAAATATAAAATCTTTTAAATAATTACACATAAAACTAATAGAATTTAAACTTAATATATATACTTAATAAATACATATACATATATTCACATATGTAGATTTCCCTAAATACGATTAATAAAAAAAAACACCTAATAAACAAAAATTGGATTTAATGCAAAATATATAATCGGTGCAAGTGTCCATATGCAATAAAAATCTAATCTAATATACCTAACCTATAATTATTTAGCCCCAAGTTACATAATAAACATTCATCAATATTCTTACAAATAGCAAAACTGCAGGAAATCAATAAATGGCCTAACAATAAACATACACACAAACATATACATGCATACATACATATATCAATAGATGTGAACTAAAATGAAAAGACACGGTGTCGAGTGTTCCATTGTTCAATAATGCGAATGGTGAGAGAAAGAGAGGCGAAGAAGATCTGTACACTAATATTATTTAAACAACATATTTAGAGCAAATTATTATAAATATTTTTGTTTTACAAATATCCAACTCGCCATTCGATTTTAGTTATTTAAATAAGGGAGTAAACTACCCTGTCGCTTTCGCCATTGGTAAAAATAATTAACCATCAATAGAAAAAAGGAGTCAGAAAATAATAGCAAACAATATAAATTCAAACATTACAATTCTGCACACTTCACATTATAATTTTTAAACGATTTACTTTTTACGTAGCAATTACAATACTTTACGCACTTAAAATAGATTGTTCTTCAATTATTACACAATTTCAATTATTAACAATAGAAATCCGTTTCAATTAAAAAAAATAACACACACACACACAAATACGCACATAAAATTATTAAGCTAAACACTAACCATAGATATTTGCAAATTCCTTCAAAAAAAGAAAAAAGAAAAATACAACCAAACACACAATAGTTTGATGTCATATGTCTGCCCCAAGAAAGCCGCCTAAAATTAAAGAAAGACCCATTTGTATGAGAAGGCTTTAAGAAATATGTACATTTTGACACATGTATATGTATCATATTGAATAGCATTAAAATTGGTGACTTTACAGCATATGTATATGTATGAAAAACTACTTCTACACCTTTAAAAAAAAACGGATTGCAAATATTTTGTATTTTTATTATAAATTTATGTTTTATTTTATTTAATCTTAATATTTTTTTGTTTTATAATTAAAATTAATTTGCAAATTATAAAATTGTACTGATTTATGTTATTTGTATGTATTTTAAGTTATATTCTTGTTAAAATAAATAAATATATTAAAAATATATATTTGAATAAAGTTTAAAATTATTTTTAATTAAACAATAAACCACTGTACATTACCATATCTGAGTGTATATTTAGCAATAAAATTTATTATTAAAAGAAAACTTTCAAAATTTAATTTTTTTTTTAAATAATTTCAAGATTTTTTAAGAGTTTTTCTAAGAGTGCAAATATTAAGAAAAAATTGTCCCGATTGCGCATTTTAGTATCGTCGAAATATTTTAGTTTTGAATAGAGCTTAAATTTTGTATGTTATTTCTTTCGTTAGCGTTAAATAGTTTGTTGTTTCATAAATTTGTAAACCGTTTTAATTATAAAATGTTATCTTTAGTTTGTAAATTTGAAATCGGGAAAACAAAATATTCGGTAAAGAATTTATGTTTATTTATTTCAATTGTTCAGTGGTTTAACAGCACTTTCAGTTTTTAACCTTTTGAATTTTGGCAATTTGTGTCTTTTAAATTTTTAATAATTTTTGTCAAATCTTTTTTCTTCTTTTTTCTGGAAATTTCCGTATTTTCACTTTGTTGTAGCAAAATATTTTTATTTTTATATTAAATTATAAATTGATTAATTATATTGATAACATTGTAACATTTTTGTAACTAGAACTAATGAGAAAATTAAGATTTAGTGCTTAATTCTGAGTTTTGATAATATTCAAATATATTTTTTGCTTATACATATGCCGTGTGTAAATTAAATTTAAGAAATGTGTAAAATATTACGCATCATAATTAACTAATTGTATTTTAAGTGGAGCAAAAAGCAAAAAAGGAAACTAAACAAAAAGAAAACAATGTATGTATGAACAAAAAGAAAATGTTGTGCGAACATAAAGCGAATGTTTTGATAAAAACAATTAATATGATATAAGAAAAATGTGATCGCAAAAATAGTAAACGATTCGTTGAGTTAGAAGAAATGGCATATACATACAGACATATTTTAAGTAAGTACATGTTTAGTAAAAGTGGCGCAATGTAATGCAAAACAATTATCAAAGCATACACGTAATTTCTGAAGGAAATAAGAACAGACTGCGAACTTTAAGGTAGAATTTTTGTTGTGTAAATCATTAAGTTGTAATTGGCAAATAAAGTAATAAAATAAATAAAGAATAAAAAATCAATGTTTTTTTTTTAATTTACTAACCTATTATTTTCTTCTAAATTGTTTAGAGTGCATGCATATTTTTATAAATTTTTTTAACTGTTATATTAATGAAAGCTACATAACATTATTCAAAACTAAAACAGCATATCAACGCTAACGACAAAGAGTCCACAAGTCATAAATGTTAAATTTATGTATGTATGTACATACGTACATAACATTTCCAAAAGGAAGCGCTCACAAATTTTATTTATGTATGTGGCGGCGAACATATGCATGCTATTCTTTTAACTCTCACCACTCTCTTAACTTCTTGGTACTTTGCTATATCTTTAAACTATCATTGATATTATAGACTCTTTTAATTCAATACTTCCTTCTTTCCCCGAACACTTACAATTTGTTGCATATTTCTCCGAAAATTTTGCGCAACATATGTATGTACGCATAAGATACATACGTACATTGAACACTCTTCCGAATTCTCACCACAAGAAAGATCTTATAAATGAACATAAATGAACACTTAAAGCAAACTTCATGTACACATATACACACTCATAACGACCGAAATAGTATACAGCGCAATTACTTTACATAAAATTTACATAAAAAATACTTACAATAAAATAACGTACGCGTTTATAAAAAAAACGGAAGCAACGGTTCGCTTGAAGGAGTTCGTGTGATTTCCGTTAATATCCGCTATTAGCAAAAAGAGATGGCGTTAACTGCGTATGCTCAACTCGTCACAGCCTACACAGTGTTGGTAGCCTGATCATTTTCTACTTATATCTTTGACCGCAAAATGTAACGTCGCTAACATACAAATATTCACTCGCCGTAATGTCGAAAACATAAAAAGTTTTTACGTATAGAAGATGAAAGAAATTAAATTAAATATCATACATTTTTACACTAAAATCGTATGCATTTTTTTTAAATTGCTACAATTTTTTAGCTGTTAAAAGGTCTAAAAATAAATATTAAAGTTTAAGAAATATAATGGAATTACTAAATAAACCAAATAAAGATCTATTCACACATAATAAATGAAAAACTTAAACATATTATGAATAAAGATGTTCTATTATTATTTATGTGGATTTGTTCTCATGAATTTTACTTGAATTGAGTTAATTACTAAAATATAAAACTGGTTGAAATATTTAAATAAATTTTTCTCAGTCAACATATTAAATTAAATTTTATTCAAATTAATCGAAGGGGAGATTTTTCATTTCACAACAGAAGTAATCTAATTAAATTATGTGGCAAACTCAAAACCATTAACCATTGGATTCCGGATAAAAATTAAATACAAAATAAAAAACAGATTTATAACTTTCAATAAATTACAAAAAAAAATGTATGAAAGAAACTACTATATTGGTTGTAGGAAAGATTCTACCCATGCAATTATAAAAAAATGCAGAAAAAAAGAAAATAATATAAAAGTTGCATATATACATATATGTATGTACACGTATATATAGCTTGCAGACTTTTTCAATACGGAAAAAAGCAATAATATACATCTTATGAACACAATATCGGAAATATCACTTAAAAAACGGAGTTTCAGGCTTAAAAATGTCATATTTAGCTAAATATTTATGTTTAAATTTTCTTTTGTTTATTGTCTTTTTCTATATGTTTAATACTTTTTTTATTAAGAAGTAGAAGAAGAACTCTAAAACAAATTTAAAACAATAAACAATATTTTAAAACATAAATAATATATTAATTGAAAAACAAATTAATAATTATGTAATGATTAAAAGAGAAAAAAATGTCTCTGGAAATTAAAAAAATATTGTAATGATAATAAACAAATTTAATATAGTTAAAACAATAAATTATTGTTTTTCATTTCATTTTTAGTCAACTCTCTTTTCTCATATATGGGTAAGTTTCTTTTCATATTCGCAAGTCGATCTTCCGGTTGTCAAAATTAACAACCGCATCAGCCAAAAACATTGTGACTCAGGTGCCACAACTTATCTTAAGAGAGCGATTCGCAAATGAGATGTTATTACCGCTTGACGATGACGTTATTTACGTTTCTAACGTACGAACATATGACGTTTTGATTTTCCTTCATAAAATTGACTCAGCTGATTTCTCTACTGTATAATGTTGCCAGTAAATAAATTTGATGTGAAGTATTTATTACCGATTTTGTTCTTTTAATAGCTGAATGGTGGAATGTTATTTAATTATATATTACAGAGTTCAGTTATTTATATATTTATATATATATAATTTTTGTTTATATTCGAACATTGGCTTTCAGTGTTGTGGTATCGCAGGACTATTGGTTTTTAGTCGTCTCTTACGACAAGCAGACCTTACCGCGGGTAAATTTTTAAAATTGAAATAACTGCTTGCATTTAAATTTCTTTATCTGGAGATTTTAGGATAACGTTACGTATAACTTCCACTGGCTTAACATTTTGCATGACCACATGTAGTTTTCTTACTAGGACACATCCACGCCGCTGTCGATAGTTGTATAGGTTTCTGCAATCGATAAAATAACGAAGCTTTCAAATTTTTCCTTTTTTATTGCTTAATTTTCTTTAATTCGTTCATTTCAATATAATATGAAGTAATATACACATTATGTATTAATTTCTAAGGTCTAAAAAAATGGGCGCATCGTTTATTGCCGTTTTGTGTCACATTACAGCAAGTATTCTATTTATGTACATCGTATTTGTTCGAGTTTTATATTTGAAAGCTGTTAGCAATATAAATGATCTTAAATTAAGAATAAATTATTAGTTTTTGGCTTTGGCGCTTTGCGCTTGACATTTCCTGCCTGGAGGCGATCGCAATTAAAAAAATTAACTTAATCTTTTATTTCATTTTTGGATGTTGATCGGACTAGGGCGCAATACTTGCCCTTCTAAAGGATAGTACTCAGAGGAATTACTAAAAATATGCTAAAAACATCGCAATCACCGCCCTTTACCGCTGCACTTTAAACGAAAATATAGTAATTTGAAGGTAAATCGATGTCACTAAATACAGATCTTACATACATACATATGTGTATAAGCATACCTTCACCTCCGCTGTTGTTTTTGTTGTTCTTGTAGCGGCTTCGTTAATCCCGTTTTGCGTCAGGTTAGTTGATCTAACTCACCGAGGTCATCTAACGGGAGGTCCAGGAAATAAATTGTTTCGACGGTATCGGACCAGAGGAAGAAGGCAGTTAGATGTGTCAGTTTAAGGTGGCATGTGCAGAGTAGATTATTGGCGTGTGGAGACTTTCTACATGGTGTCCTTCATGTTTAATACTCCCTTTCTGATGTGCCTAAGCGAAGGTTCAGCTTCTATAAGATTCATATTATGGTGCTCCCTATAGTAGTGTCCCTATAGAAATTGCTTGCACAGCATAGTATTATACTCCTTAACTCGGACCACGGCGACTTAGACTGATTAAGCCTGTGCCTAAGCGGGGTTAGCGAACCGCTACAACAACAACTCCTTAACTCGTATCGTAGATGCTTCGCTATGCAACCAGAAGATTTCCTGTCGCGGTCCTGAGTGCATTGTTTTAACAAGCCTATAACTTCTTCATCTGCGTCTCGTTCGTCCCCGCATGCTTTCTTTATCTTTACACCAGGTACTGCCTGCAAGCGTTTTGAGTATTTTGTTGCGGCTCTGGAATTTTGCTGCAATTACATCTCACTTTCGAACAAACGTCGTCAATATCCTGGCCAAACGGTCAATATTGTGCAATCGTCGGCATACGAAGTTAAGGAAACTTCCTTCTAGTGGTGGAGGTCTTCGCTGCCGATAAGACCCTGCCGACTACTTATAGTTATAACTTACAAGTATCTACCCGTAAAGAAACTATGCTTGTTTTGCACTGAATAAAGATTTTATTGATCGTTGTGATAAGGAATAACTTAATATATTCTGCCCAAATGCTTAGCGAATGCGACTTGACTTCCAGCGTTAATCGACGGCAGGTTCTTTCAAGTTATTTCGCTCGAGGAAAATTTTATCGCATACGTGTACCTACATACTTACGTATTTATTCATATAGTGTATATTACATACTATATCATATTATTTGTGGCTTTGACCAAGTTTTCGGTGCCCGTATTTCTTACTGAACACAGTCTTCAATAACTCTTTGACTTTCCCACGATATATCACAATATATTGTAGATATACGAGTATTGTAAAATTCTTCACATATGTGAATTCTAATAAAATTTTATTATATTATTGTGCAATACCTCACCCAACTCGTCTCCACGCGTCCACAAAAAATGTCATTGTTTACTTACTAGCTTTCGCAAATATAGTATAGTATGTCTAATTGAGCTATTAAAATCACTACAAAATAGAAAAGCAGTTAATCTTATCAACGTTCACACTCAATTTCCCACTTGCGAAAGTGTTTTGTTATCTAAAAATGAAATTCTCTCAACTGATTTCACTATTTGAAGGCCTCTTCTAATCAAATCTCATTTAGCACATACTTATGTACAAATATATACTTAAGAAAGCAGACATAATTAAACTTAACAGGAAAATATTTGAAAATGGTTAAAAACTTAAGTTATATAATAATCCTTCTCGTAAATAAAACATTGGAAAGTTCGTGCTTTTTTGGCGTATATTGCAAATTGATTGTGTTAATAAGGTCTTTTTGATAAACATGCCCCAATCAGCATGCCAATTTATTTACAAACAACTTATTAAATATAAATTATTTACACGAACACTTATGTCACGATGAAAAAATGTGCAAGTTTCGTTTACGATATTATTTCATGAGTAATGTACATGAGCCGCATTCTTTCTTCAACCCCTTTTATTATTTTGTGCAATTTTCGCTAATTTTTGTACATTTGTTACTAAGTAAAACTATGAGTTTCAAATCAGAGCGGCTCATGCAACAAGCACCAGTCGTTGGTTGTTTTCATAGTCGTTTTTAGCCTTGCGCTACATTCTTTTTATCGAGAAATTCGTAATTAACGAAACGTATTCCTTGTACTGTTTGGGCAGTGGCGTTTGTAAGATGGCAAGCGAAAAGCAACATATTCCTGGGTTGCACCTTCCATGCGAAGCGCATGAACACGCAAGAGTAGAGTGTAAGAGCTGAAAGAAGATTAGACAGTTAATAATTATTATTACCTATTTTTTTTGAATGATAATGGCTTGCAAGCTACTCTACTGATAAGAACTATAAAATAAATACACTATACATATTTATAATTATTATACTACACGACTTGAATCACATTTGTGTTGAAGCCAAACCCGTCAAACAACTAATCAACCAATTAAAAACAAAAACAAGAATGAATTTTGAATATTGATAGCAGTGCTTTGTTGCGGAGAAGCTTGGAAATCACTCATGGTCTTGGAACTTTCAATGTATTTGTATGCACATAAACGTGTAGACGAGAACGCTGAATGATGATGACCATGACATTAACTATTACATAGAACAATCATTCCAAATTAAACGAAAAAAGTTATATATTCACCCAATGTCATTTTGCCAGAAATGAATTTTGGTTCCTTTTTAAAATCTGCGATTGCTGCCAGTGGTATACCCCAATTTGCTACTGGACCCCAAAAGTGTGTGCTGCATTGTTCAACATTATATTAAAAATATTGAATTTGAAAAAAAAAAAAACGAGAACAATATATGTATGTATTTACCAACCTCATCAAATAACTACGGAACTCTCTGCTCTTCAATTGGTTAAACAATTTAGAGACAATACTTCGGTTTGGTTGGGCCATTCTGTCCTTTCAAAGAGATTTATTACTTCTGTGACGCCGCGTTTTTTGGTGACCAAATTGTCAGCGCTTGAAAAGATTAGGACGAAGCTATATACCTTTCACTAGCACGTTATATAAATGACAACTTCGGCACGGACCGCGACAAGTAAAACGCCACCAAAACAAACCGAACCACACACACAGTGCACTCGCTGACAACAATCAATTTGCAAATTATCAATTCTTCATATATCTGACATATACAGTTGTCAAATAGTTGTGTAACCTGGGCACTTTAAACCTTTCAGTGATGCCAGTAGTCTGATTAGTGGCATATTTTATGCTTATTAGGGAGTGTACATAAATACGTAAGTCGGTCACTAGGGAAAGGGTTTAGTTGTAATGTTGCGCTGTTGCCACGTAACCGTGGGATGGAAGTGCGTAGTAACCGTTATAATTTTCTTCAGATGAAATAAACATTTATTGTATGCTTATAGATTGTACATTGGGCCAATCACTTCTTCAGTTCGCATTTTGCCAAATGGTAAAACCAAGTTCAGCCAGGTTCTTTTCTACCTGATCCTTTAAATAGAATGGTGGTCGTTCTATTCTTCTGCTTTCACCGGCGGGTACTGCATCCCAAACTGGAGTGTTCATCCATCCAAATGACCTAGCCAGCACCGCCGCTTTTCCTTGTTTCGGTGAACTATGTCAATGTCGCCGTATACCTTTTGCAGCTCATTGTTCCACCGCACGTTTCTCTCTAGAAAACTCCTAACACCGACTCATCAGATGTTGTGTTCGTGTTTGCCTTCGCGGCCTATAACAGGACCGGAGTGATGAGGGACTTACACAGTTTGGTTTTGGTTTGTGTAGAGAGGACTTTTATTTTCAATTAGCTTCTCTGTCCAAATTAACACCTTTTGGCTAGAAGGATTTCGCTTTGGATTTCCAGGCTAATAATATCAATATCATCAGTGAACTCCTGCAGCTGTACTCTCTTATAGAAGTTTGTACCTTCTTTATTCAGCTCTGCAGCTCTTATTAGTTTCCCCAGCAGTAAATCAAAGAGGTCAGACGTTTAGGAATTTATTTATTATTTGATAGTTTTTAAAGTTTGGGTTGTTAAGATATCAAATCAAAAATATTACATCTAACTTTAATATAACGCGCTGTGTTGACGCCACGTTCTTGTGGTATGTCCCATACAAATTGAATGTACGTGAGGATTTTTGACTGTTCCAATTTAGGTATATCAGTAAGAACCACCAGTTTTTGGAGTTTCGCAAGTTACGTTGGATTTAGGTATTTAATTTGCATAACGACTTCGATTATCAGAAAAAATGTAGAGCAATCACGTAATAAAATGGCCTTAATAAAATAATTACCCTTGGAATCACCCTGTGCCTTTATCAGCAGATTTTGTGGAATATGAAGCGCTGGCAGCACTGTTTTTTGACATTCCTCCGCTGTGGACTGCGGATGTAAATTTCTGCGCCTGTGCCCCTTATATCAAAATATCTTATTGGACATTAGACCTATAAATGAACTAGGAGTACTATCAGAGTTTTACTAAACACGGCGCTGTACGTATGTAAGGTGAGTTTAACAAATAGCGAAAGTAGTTGTAACAATTTATTAACGATAATAAAAGTGAAATAAACGGTTGGCTTCAATGTTTTGGTGTGCTCGGTACGGCGGTGACAGATTGTGATTAGTGTTGGCTATTATTTTAAGTTGCTTGGGTATTTTAAGTGAAAAGTAAGTGCATTTAATATAAAGTTGTTACTTTGGTAAAGAAAAAAAAAATCAAAGCAAATGAAATGTGTTGGTCATGATATGAATGAAGTTAGTATTGGACAGCCACTTACTAATTGACGTGTTGTTTTTGTGAAAGTGGCGTGTTCTTTTCTTAAATGAAATCTCCATCTGTGCACTTTTAAACATAACAATGCCATTGGAATATAATTAAATTTTGGTTTACCATCCTTTTACTTAATTATATTATATATTTTCATCACTTTTATTTGTTGACCTTTAATCTTTTGAGTGGGAAAGTTTAACCTGGCATAATGGCTATCAAACTAGCGTGATGTCAGTGATGAACAATTTTTTTTTTTTTTTTTTTTTTTTTTTTTTTTTTTTTTTGTAATAAAAATATAATAAATTGTAATAAAAATATAGAAGCCTATTATATTCCATATCATGATATCAAAAGGTCTTTAGTATTTTCAACGGAAAATCGTTTATATAAATTATATCAATTATTAAAGACGCTGGTGTAAAAATGTCGGTTAAAGTCAATAGAAAGTTTAAAATTTCTTCTACTTTCTACTTTCTTTAGACCGTTTTACGTTAATATAGTAATTTCCTTTCCTTTCGTTAATAGTTCCGAAAATAGTAATGAATTGTGAAAAAATTTAAATAACATCTAATATGTACACAAAAATTGGAAACAATATACATTCTTTTTTTTTTACTTTTTATCATTTTAATCATTTTTACTTTCTTATAGTATTCCTCCACATGCAGAAAAACATAAAGTTCTTTTATTTCCGCATATTGATAACATCATTCAAGTTTAATTTCCGGCGGTGAATTTGAAGGCGAGCATAAAACAAAAATAGAAATCAATCAAAATCTGAATTGCATTAAGGCCAAATCAAAAAAAAAATTAAAATTACATTTGCTGAAGAAAGTAAAGCTCCAAAGCAATTAAAAGTAAAAAAAATTTTATAAATTCAAAACCTTGAGTATAACTGTTAAACATTTCAAGTCATCATGTCGCACTGGGAAGAATTTTATAATACGCATTTACCGCCAACCGATTTCGAGGATAATCGCTCATTATTAAAGGAATTTTGTGAACGACACAATAAACTACAGAATCGTATCGTCCTTGTAACGGTAAGTAGTTTATTTCTATGTTATTTTCAAGAATTGGTTTTATCAAACTGTATCGTTTACAAAAATTTTTCTAGAAATATTATTAAATATATCTATGGAACAAAATATAAAGGGTTTTCCAATAAGAAGTGTTATTTAGATATTTGACAAGTGAAAATTACGCCTGTAATAAAAACGAAACGATATACGTTTCAAAAACTTGAAATTGCATTGAAATATATAAAATTCACTAAAAAATTATATCGAAAAATCATCTTGACTGATGAGGTCAATAAGTGACTACGCCAATAATCAAAACTGCCGCTCGGAAAACCCGAGAATTATTGGTGACAAGTCTCTTCATCCTCAATGTGTATCTCTTTGGTGGGGTTAATGGTCCGGCGGTGTAATTGGACCTTACTTTTTCGAAAATGAATGGCTTGCGCTTTCGAGAGATGATTAATGACGGAGAACGTATATTTTCAACTAGACGGCGCTACATGTCACACAAGCTACGAAACCATCGATCTCTTAAGGGAAGCCCCTGCAGATTAGGGGTTCAAGAATTTACCCGCGGTAAGGCGTGCTTGTCAAAAAAAGTGGACTAAAATCCAATAGTTCCCGCGATAGTCGGGTCTTTATACCTGAACGACCCGAATTTTTATCCGGACAAGGACTGTAACTCCCGCAACATTCTCCAAAAAGTACTTTGGGGTAAGTATGTTTGCGGTTGCAACAACAACATTTTTTAAGGGAAAAGATTTTTGAATATCAAAATTACGCCTTTTAGTGGAAAACCCGTTAAATTTTTTTTATTTGAAGCTTTCCTAATCAGAATATATCTTTTCCTGGTTTCCCCCCTCTATTCTCACAGTCAGGTGGCACCACAGTCCCCTTGGAACACAATACTGTACGTTTTGTTGATAATTTTAGTGCGGGTACACGTGGCTCAACATCTGCTGAGTATTTCCTTGAGCATGATTATGCCGTTATATTTATGTATCGCGCCAAATCGCTTGAACCATTCACACGTCACTTGACCGGTCAACAATTTTTTGATATGCTCGACATAACCGATAATGGACAGAGTACATCGATAACGGTGAAACCGGATTCCGTTGATGTATTCGCACCAATATTAGCCAAATATAAACAAGCCCGCGAATCACAAATGATATTGTATGTGAATTTCAATACTGTGGCCGATTACTTGTGGCTATTACGTGCCGCATGCGAATGTTTGGCGGCATTCGAGGAAAGAGCATTGTTGTACTTAGCTGCAGCAGTGTCGGACTTTTATGTTCCTCAAGATATGATGGTGAGTATTTTAATTATTTGATTTCTTTTGCCATATTTATTGACATCAATATATATGTATGTATATATGTATATATATATATATGCTTGCAACTAATTAACATTGCTGGCAGGGTAAAACCAAATTAGTTGTTATTGTGATTTATTTATTGTAAATTAGCTAATTTTTCTTTTATAAGAGATCTTTTATATTTAATTTTTTTATTTATAATATTAGAAAATAAAATAATTTTACTAATTAAAAGTCAAACAACGCTTTCTTTGCTTTGTTCTTTCTTTTTCAAATAATGTTTTTATTTCGTTTTTAAAGTTACTATTTGGTTGCAAACCAATTCACGGCTTGCCATCTACGAGGCATTGATTCCACTAAACTTTTGCGGATGTTCTTTGTATATGATTTCATTCTTATTGAACCTTTTTATATAAATCCTAGAAGTTTCCAACTTTATGGAAGCGAGCTCTTTCTTAAAGATTTTGGATTGCATTCAATTCCCATCTACATGAAGGCCGTCCAACAGAGTCACCATGTTTTCCTGAAACCACTGCCTTGTACCACGCGCTGCGGGTTAGAGGTCCAAAAATTTACCTGCGGTAAGGCATGGCTGTCGTAAGAGGCGACTAAAATCCAATTGTTTCCGCAACAGTCGGACTCGGACTTTTATCTGGCCAAGAACTGTCACTTCCGCAACATTTCCCAAAAAGTATTTTAGGAAATATTTTTGTTTCGGTTTCAGAAAAAGTCAGATAGTGGCCATAAGTGTAAGGTTTTTAAAGTGTTTTACAAATATGTAGACCCAACACCTCGCCACGACATGTCATCCCAAATCATTATACAGCCGCCATTATGTTTTAAAGTGGGCCTAGTGTATTTAATGTCCAATTTCTTGCATCGAAGGCTGTGGACATCAGTTTTTCTATCTGAAGAAATCTTATTTATCTTGATTTCATCATAAAACAAGATCGTTTTCCATTCGTTTGCTGTCCGATGGCGATCTTTCGTTGCAAACTCTAAGCGGCTACTTCCATTGCGTTCCGACAGTAATGGCTTCTTTCCTGAAATTTTTCCCTGAGACTTTTCCTCGCCTAATCGTCTCGTTGCGATACCTACAGCTAGTGCATTTGGATTTCGTCTAAAAACCATAACTCGAATTTAATTTGTCGTCATTTGGAGATTCGTTATTGACTCGCGGATAATCAACTCGTACTTCCGAAGAGTCGTTTTTCGACGTCGCTTCTTTTTTTTGGCATTTTTTGTTGTTGTTTTATTCTTGTTGAAATACTTAACTGTATTAAGAATTATGGAGATAGTTATACTCACACTTGCATAAAAACTTAAACTCTTTCAGGATAACGGAATTTCTTCAAACAATTTTTGACAGCTAAATCTGAGTATGAGTTCTCCAACGGAGAAACTTTTTTTGTTTTTCTTTTTTATTTTGCAATTTTTTTTTCGTTGGTGCATACTCAACAGGTGCTCGTATGTCGTTGTCGTGGGCGCATACTTAATGTTATTTTAGTAGGTACATAAATACATACACACATACCAATATAGTACATAAGTATGTGTACGTTAGTAACATGGGATATAAGAAATTCGGGTAAATTGAAAATAATGAGGAAAATAAATGAGGAAAACGCCCGTTTATCGATTTATGGAATACACATAATATAAGGGCATGTCAGACCTTTTTTTATTGACGATACATATTTATGTACATATACATATGTTGAACACATAAAATCTCTTGTACCTATGCAATAGATCGGTAATTTCAAAAGGAAAAATAGATTTGCTTTAATAATAAATAAATAAATTTTTATTTAATTTTTTGTCTTGCCCTCTTAATATCTCATTATTTTCTAGCTAAAATATACATTGAAATTTCAAAAAGTTCTTTAAGTTTTACCATTTTCAGTTTTATGGAGCTGTCTCAGACCATATATTTTTGTGGAATAGTGAAAAAATTACAACAACAGCCATCAGACTTCTTTCTCCAGACACCCTTGTCAAATTGGACCCGAACTTGGAATGTCCACAGCATGAACTCAAAATATTCGTTTGAAAATATTTTGCTTTTCCTACAAAATTTCCTTTGATATCAGTACTTTTCACTTTTAACAATTTTTTCTGCGGATTAATATACAGCGATGGTAAAGGATGTTCCATTTCGAGAGTTACTATATTTTAAAAAAAAAAAAAAACACTCAGTAAACTAAAATTAAACAATACCCATTTATTATTATTCGAAAGAACATTCTTTGACATTTATTTTCTGAAGATTTTCTCTTTCAAATGTTGGCCGCGGCTACGTCTCGGATGGTTCATCCGTTGAGTGCAGTTTTCGACGACTCGTTCGAGCATTTCGACTGGTAACTGGCGAATGACACGCGTGATGTTTGCGCCTGCATCGACTTTAGACTTTACATATCTCCACAGGCCAGTGTCTAAGGGTGTAATATCACACGATCGACCCGCCTAAAACTTGGAATTATTTGCTCTCCATTGATTGATGCGATGTATGGGAAGTGGCGCCGTCTTGTTGAAACCAAATGTCGCCGCGATCACGAGCTTCGATTTCAGACATCATATAGTCGGTTATCATGGCGCCATAACAATTGCCATTGGCGGTTACGTTCTTATCGGCATCAGTTTTGAATAAATATGGACAGATGATTCCACCGGCCCATAAACCCCTTCAAACCAGTGATTTTCTGGATGGAATGGCAGCTCTTGAATCTCTTCAGGTTTCTCTTCGTCTCACATGCAGCAAATATTGATTGTTTACAAAACCCATTGAGCCAGAGATGGATCCCATCGCAAAAAAAAAAATGTCGGATATTCTTGAAACTTTCCAAGGGTCCATAGAGCGAAGCGATGTCGCTTGGGCTGGTCGAGCGGCTTCAGTTCTTGCCCAAGCAGTACTTTGTACGCTTTCAATTTAAGATCTCGTTCCATTAGTTCGAGTTTCTGCTATTTGTTATTTCACCAAAAAAAAAAAAAAATGAGTTTGCCTGCAGCGAGGCTCGTACTTTGAACCTCACACGCTACAGTGATAACCTCTAACCTCATGGGTTATTATGACGATGAATCGATGTAAATCAGTTTGCGCACTTCAACAGAGCCTAACCGAGAATGAAACTCAGTCGTGGCGCTCTAGATATAACAACAACAGACGGGCTTACTCGCGCGCTACTGGTGGACTGCTATACAAATAAGCAAGTGGCATGATTTCAACGACTCTTGTTATAGTTGTAACCGCAAAATATGGCAGCCCTTGGCCGGATAAAAATCCGGGTCGACCCCACTGTCGCAGGAATTATTGGATTTTAGTCGCCTCTTACGAGAAGTGCTGAAAACTCATACTCCTATTATTTGCCCATTGCCGACTCATCAACCTAATGATTATCTTTAACATCACCCTTTTCATATTCCCCACAGTCATCGTGGTTGCTATTTTCATTATTTTTATTGTTTCTATTGCCATCAACAAAGTCTCCTTGTCCATCCGTTCAGCTGAGTTAGATAGCGGTTGCTTTTAATCCATCGTTTTTTTCTATTATTGTTGTTGGTCTTGTTGGTAGACCCAAGCTGAAGTGCTGAAATTGTTAGAACAAGCATAAGCATTTAGTACATGCAATAAAAGCCAACACATTGTTGTTGATATGCCGGTGCTAATGTTATCGTTAACAATCGCTAACAATCGCCGCCGCTGGCAGAGGCAAGTGAAGATGACAGATTTGAGAATGCCACAACACAACAACTCAGTTTTAGGGCCATACAACTACACCCACTTCTCTATAAACATACGTGGGTCGCTCTGAAATCTTTTCAAACTATATTTAGCCTCTTTCTTTAGTATTTTAACTAAGTCTTAGTAAAATTTTTTACGCTTGGAATTTTAACTTAAAATAAAAAATCAAAAAAATCATTTTGAAAAAAGTTAAATTGTCGAAATTAGAATTTGTCATGCCATGCCTGGCACTGATTTATTGAACGACCATTATATAAATATACATACGTACATAATACTCCATGCATGTATTTATATATGTACTATATGTAAATGACTTTATCGTCATTTTCAATATTCCATTCAGTTTAATTTTATCATCCGCTTTGCGTCAATGCGCCACTCTGCTAACACTCTGTGGTCTCTTGAATATGCATGTCTTCAAAGCCGTCGCTCGACCAAACATAGTGTTTGTGTAATGTGTATATCATTGACTTTACATACATACTATGTAGGCGCTCTCAAGTGTCTCTGTGTCTGTCCTGACATTTGCTGCTGAAAAGTTTGCTTTTGCTTTGGTATTGGTGGCAGTCGCCTTGACATTGTCCTTGCCCAGTGCCTGACTTGCTGTCTGTCGCCAAGCGAGTGTGGCTTACTTAGTTGCATGACTGGCTCTGTAAATCTTGTTTGCCTTGATGTCGTTGGACCTCCTCGCCAGTGAACGAAACACGGAAGTGTCATAGTGCAGCACATGTCCATTTCAGCTAGTTGCTATGCCAAAGTTTTCCACTTGAGTAGTGGGTGTTGGGCGGAAAATTGTTTTAAATTAAAGTAAAGTTTATACGCCGGAATAATTTTTTTTTTAATAAAATGAATTTATATTTAAATTATATAATAATTCTAAAAGTGCAAAAAGTACAAAAAAAAAATAATAATAATAAAAAACAACAATGTAAAATGAATATCAACTGAAATAAAGCAAAATGAAGTAAAAAAAATTAAATAAAGTAAAAAAATATATAATAAAAAAATTTTAAACAAAAAAATTAAACAAAGTTAAATATAAAAACAAAGGAAAAATTTAAAACCTTAGAAAATTGTAAATAAATATTTAAAACATTAAAAAATAAATTAAAAATAAAGTGATTAAAAAATTAAAATTGTAAAATAATAAAATTAAAATAAATAAAATAAATAAAATAAATAATGAAAAATAAAAGTATTAACAATAGACAAAATAAAAAATTTAAAAAAATAGTGAAATAAATAA